TTTTTTTCAATTCGTCGGCTTAAATTTGAAGGAAATTTTACCAATTTATTATGGGCTTGTGTTGGAATAGTACACGGCATAGGTGGGGCTCGTTGAGACGCCATTTTCGTGAAATACGCGGCGTTACAGGTGAGAGACACCTTTCAGCGTCTGTGCAGATGACCCCGAGCCATACAACCAATACTTGGTATAGGGTTCTTAAGCTCATTTACATATTTGTGAGCAGTGAGGCCGCGGCCCGTGGGAAGCCATATTGGATTTTACACCTGCCTCAAAAATGGCTTCCGTTTTAAGCGTCTAAGGTAAGTGCGAAAATCTGGAGGAAAGGGGACATTCTCCTGTTGATTTGTGTTCTTATGAACGGCACAAAAATTTGGAGCCATTTTCGTATCTCGGACGAAGGGAGTTTTGAGTTGTTTTGACCATTTCCTCCGGAAGGCATATTCAATGCGGCTTGTTCTGGGACAAAATGGCCAAACCAGGTAGAAATTCATGGAATATGGAATATTTTGACATTAATTTCGGCAAATTTATTCTAAAATGCAAGAGAAATTCGTCAAAAATATCCAATAAACTGAAGGTATGAGAAAATATTTCCAATAAATAATGCTAAATTTGAGACTACAAAACTTCCATTCTTTTTAAGGAAGGCGACAGACATGCTTAAATTCTGCCGTACTTGAGCAATGGCCACGGACACAAAAGACGCAAAATGGAGTAGGGGGGCAGCGGCGACAACGCCCAAGGATTCGACCCCACCTCCAGTCAAAACTAAAAGTGACCTTAAATCGGCCACCAGGGGAGACGCGACCAGCACCGCCAACGCCCCCCAGGTGAAGGTGAAGGCGGAGAACGGTGCCACGCCGGCAAGTCACTGCAAGGTAGAGGTGCCACAGCCTCGCCCCTCAGATCACGACAGTAAGGGCAACAAGGCGGTTCCAGCCAACGTTAAAGGCAAAGGTGGAGGCAGTTCCAATCCCCAGGGTCCAGAGGGGGTGCAACCTTATCCCAGCGGTCACAACCCAGCGCTGTTACAGACGGAGGAAGTGGAAGGCTTTTTTAACAGCCTGAATTCTCCACACGCGACGGCCGTTGTTGGTGCCGAACCGACGCCAGTGGTGACCAGCTCCTTCTCCTCGAGCAACTTGGCCACTTTGACTAACTCCCCGATGACAGGGGTGCACCAATACAGCAACTCCCCACAGCCACACACCCCAACCAACGCGGCTATGCTGTCCAGCGGCTCTTATTCCGCAGGGTACTACGACGCCGGGGGACAGGGGGTGTACGCCTCGCGCGGACTGTACGTCCCCTCGCCTCGTGCGTACAGCCAGTACGCCTCCCCTCACGAAGCCAGCACCTGGCATCAGGGAGAAGGCTACAGCTCCCCGGGGAACGCCGGTGGAAGGTACCCGTATGGCCCACACATGGACCCCAACGCCAGATCATCCGCGGACATGGCCAAATATCCCGAGGCGACGTATAGTAGTGGTCCCACCGCTGCTCACCGCACGCCTGAGAACCTCTACACGTCTAAAATGGCCGGGTATCAGATCTATATGACTCCCCCCGACATGTCGCCGTGGACGGCAGCTCTCAGTGGACCTTCCCAAGGGGCCGCCAATGGCGCCGAGTCGACCATGTTGGAGGACAGACGGGAAAGCGAGAGTGGTGAGTATTTCATTTTTTTCTTTTCTAATACGACAGCACTACCACCTTTGGCTTCTTTTTTGTGGACAATTCTAGCCTAAGAATACAATTTAGGACACAGAAAAACCATATCGTTGGATGAAATTAATAGAAATGAATATATAATATGATGGCCTATATTATCGACAGAAATTTCTTGTGCTAGAACGATAGACTACAATAAAGATAAGCGGTTTTAAACTCGTTTTAATTTAATTGTTATTTTATGTTTGGCATATACAGATAGGGCTCTTTTTAATTGCATAAATTCACATTTGCTAACTTCCATGTTCACGATTTATGACGTCGTATATATCTTGAAACTAAATTTTGATTAAAATTTTATAAATAGATCGTCAGATAAACAAGAAATAGATAAACTAATAACACTAAAAGATTATTGCACACATTTCAGACATGATTGAAACTCAATAAAGGGAATGAAATTCTTGAAAAGACAGCCGATTAAAGTTTTTTTTATAAAAAATTGGACTCATAGTTTAATACGAAATAAATTCAGAAAATAACATTAAATAAAATAATGAAAGGTATTTTGTTAGAGTAAATCCAGTTTATAGTAGCTATAAGCCTCGTGGCTGAATAGGGCGATAACTTTAGGCAGTTTTAGAAATGTGACTGCATTCCGTCACCGTTACCACTCAAAACAATCGGTTTGCAGTGACATAAATTCCAAAGAAAATATCGTTGACATTTGTGTTTATTTGACAGTTACAATATTTAGTAAATTTGACGAAAAAAACAGGAATATATGTCAAGTATGTAGCGATAACATGTTAAACAACAACAATTATTATTATTATTATTATTACCAAAATTAAATGACGATAATTATAATTTTGATAAATACTACATCGGGAAAATTGTTTTGATATAAAACTTACTTTTGGTCTTCACCAGTTGCATGATGAATGCTGAAATATAATATGACAAATTTAAAGAATTTGCATCAAACAAAATAACACTTTTATCGGAGTTACTGTTTGAAACAATTCACATTATATCTAGGTGTTCAAATTCATGACATAGGCGCCAATTTAGAAAAGCCAAAACTGTTTACAAAAAGCTAAGAAAATATATGGGTCATTCATGCATCAATACAACGAATAAATACATTCATCTACATCCATATATGACATATCTCATACAATCTAAAACCTCGTGGCCTAGTTTCGTCTAAATGTTTACAAGATATCGGGATAATTAACTCTCCAGTAATATGCCATGGCGGCCAGTATCACCAATGACCTTAATCGCTACAGTGGGAGCAGATATCGTGTCTTAAGTACAGTTAATCATTGCTTAAGATTAGGAGAAAATCATTAAATTTTTGTGGGGCAGACCTTTTGGTGAAACGACTGGTGTTTTAATTTGCGAAAGATGTTTTTGAATAAGGAAATATTGATAAATGTATGCATTTGGATTGTAGAAAATTGAAAGGAATTTTTATGTCTATTTGATTTGAATGAAATAAAAAGCTAAATAAATAAAATCGCTCATATTTAAAGATATGTATGTCGTAATTGTAAAATAATAATTGAAGAATTTCTGTTGTTACGATGATATACATTAAAAAATGTACAGATAAAAACAGATTATTTGGAATTCTAAAGTAATTTATATTGTAATTTTTGTTTTTGTCCGTTCTTTTAATGTGATTGAAAAGGAATGCTACACCTTTTCCTAATCAAATCTGTTAACATTAAAGTGATAAAACAATTGGACAATGAATAAAATTTGTTGCATATATTAAATACATACTTAAATATATAATCAACAGGCTTATTTCACAAAATGGAGTATAAATTTCACAGTTCTAATTGAAACTTCGTATTTAAATCAAATCAATATGATTTTGTGATAAAATAATTCCAAACAAAAATATTTTCGAATATTAAAAGTGCTAAATAAAGTTAAATAAGAGTCATAGTCAAATTATTAAATAGCATGACTGTCAATGATTTAGATATAACCATATGGATAAGTCATAGATAATTTTTTCTGTCAATGACTAAGTGGTTTTGAGGGACAAATATACCTGGCAGTCCCATGGCTATCCTTAGTTGACGCCATTTGTTGAAAACGAAGCACGTGGAATTTTACGTAATAAGTTATCAAAGCGGTTAACGAAAAAGATGAAATAAAATTGACAGAATAAAAATGAAGTTGTAGAAAAAGATTTTGAAGAGAGTCAAAGAAAGCTGTGCAGGGAATATTGTAATTGTCTTTAGTTTGTGGAACATTACGTTAACTGTATAAACAAACATTGTGGTGAATGGAAAAATAGTGCTTTGAATATAACCACGAGATAAACAAAATCCCTGGTTTTGCATAAGGAAGCGAAGTGGGGTTTTCACCTTCAGGAAGAAGGAACGAGGAAGACAGATTTCAATGTCACGAAAATGTTTATAAATCGCGGCTCCAAAAATTTAGATCTAAATTTATGAAAATGCGTCATTTTGTGACGGGAAGTAAATGATAGAAGAATTTTACGTAGTGTCTCCGCCACTGGTGGTTCACTTTCTCCCCGGCCTGACATGTAGTGTATATTTGATTTAATTTATAGTATTTACAAAAGCAGTAAAAAATAACAGATCAAACATTAACCTACATGGTGATGAAAAGAGTTATGTAGTTATGATTATTGATGAATATAAAATATTTGTGTGCCGTCATTCTTTCATTTGAAAATATACGAATAAAAATAAATGCCCTAAAAGAGTAAACTTAGTGTTTATAAAAAAAAAAAATTAGAACACTGTTTCAAAGGTACCATTTAGAAAGCTTTGACTATCACCTAATCAGCAAAAGGGTGCGTCTTTAGTATAATCACAATACAAGTCATCACATTGCTCCAAATGAGCCGTGTTGGAAGCTTTGAACGCCAGTTAACAAGAAAATCACCAATAAAACATGCAGCGCTATACTAGACCGCTCTCAAAGCTAGGCCCCCAACTCTTAAAACCCACACCAGAGACGCGAACAATGGCTTTAATTTCGCCCGGTTCCCAGGTTCATAAAATCCGTGGTAAATATTGACACAATTTGAACGCTATTCATCATTATCAGCTCGCGGCCCGCGCTATCATGGCCTTATCAGTGGGGAAGAGAGAGAGCCTTGTACGCGGCGGGGGACTAGGGGACCACGGGACGCTGAATGAGAGAGCGTCGAGGACTTAACGTCAATCAATCATCCGGGTGGACAATTGGTGGATGTTGGGATGGGTAGGGGAGGTTAATCCCTTTGGTTTGTCCTTGGGGACGAGGTGATCGAAAGGGGGGGGGGGTGAAGAAAATGATGCATACCTTTTTATGTTGAATTATGCCGGTGTGGGTAAAGCTTTCTATAAGAACTCTAGATAGGATATTTTAAAATGAGACATTTGTCTGCAAATAATTGTGACGGAAAATTATTACGTGAGACAAATATTTGGCCAAACATGGTGACAGATAAAGGGAATTGTAGGGAAAAAGAAAATAAAAATTATTATTTAACGAAATTCGATATTGTGTGTAGTAACCTTAACATTGTTTAGTTGGATAGAAATATATTGATAACATTGTATAATGTACCCTTTATTAATCCGTAAATAAAAAATTACGGAAGTTTTGGAAGAATGCCAGTCAAAAGGTTTTGAGTGGAAAAACATTTGAGAAAGAAAATTCTACACTATGAAGGAAATTCATTTTTGTTATCAGTTCTGCAAACTTTACCCAATGTAGTACAGGAATATTTGACCAAATATGTAATTCAAATATATGGAATTTTGTGACAACAAACTCTATTAAAAATAAACAAAAACAATAACTGTAAACAAAATCCTTGTGAAAGTTAACGCAGAATTGTTAACTATAAATAATATTTTATTTTGTTTTCGTTGAAAAACGTAACAGCCAATTCACCACAGAATAATCATATCACAAATGGAATCCGCATTTTGTCATTATCGGTTTGTGTTCTAAATATTCATAAGATTTCCCTGACCCCATGGTGTATATAGAGGACAGCAAAGGAACTCTAACTGCGTGTAAGTATATGAATTCATAAGTTTCTCCCTATTGTCCAACCCCCCAAATATGGTCCTCTCCCCACCACCCCCCTAACCACCCGTATACACTCCCTTTACTTGACATTTCTGATTTTATGAACATTTGTACCATCAAATATGTGAAAGCATACTATAGTATAATATTCCAAACTGCCAAATAACCTACTCACCTTCTCCTATTTCTAATTCAGCCATTTTGAAATATATTTAATGAGCCTTTATGATTTCGATTTGCCATGTATAACCATTCAATATTCGGGGACAAATCATTATTAAAAAAATATATATATGAAAATATGTGACCTGAAATGTTTATGTATTTAAAAAAACCTGTTAGTGTGTCTCTCGAAACACAAAACAATGTACACACTATTGTAAACCAAACGATGATATAAATTTAATAGAAACTACTTGTGCTATCAATTTAATTGAGGTTGCACTTGATGTTCCTGTTTCGTTCACTGATCGTATACATTTAACGGGACTCTGTTCCCACTTAAAGTATGTGTTCATAACAGAAAGTAAACAGAATTATTCCATGTTATTTGAGTTTCAGTGTTAGACAACAGACTGTATCTCTTTAATTTATTTCAGTGTCTTATCATTCATGCGACAGACGCGTTAAACTGTATTTCTAGTGTTGAAACAACATATTAGTAATATTTTTGGTGAAAATATGCACGTTTTTGTCGATCTTGGTTAATGCCAATTTTCCGTAAGGAAATTTTGAATATCATTTTCAATATCATTCACATATTATCTGAAAGTTCTAAATAAGTGGATACCATGACAATGATACAATTTAATTACAATTTACATGGAAACTAATTTTATATTGGTGACCGTTTTCTTTAATGGGCAATGATTACCATTACCAGTGCCTCTGCCAACAGATCTTTGAAATATGAAAGAGGACATTCAACTTTAGCACAGTGTCATCCAGGGTTAATGCAGGAAAACATTTTTTTTTTATTACTGAATTATGGTTTTATGACAAATGAGTAGACACTTCACCTTTTTCCCGGTCCTATAAAAAGGCTGCATTTAGAATCATAACTACCGGGTTCTCGGGATAGGTTTGTCGCCTGGTACGGTTAGGAGCAAAGAGTGCGTGTGATGAAACAAAATTAGTAACACGTGATAGATCACAAAAGGGTAAAACTGTCGCTGGAATGGTATAATTCTTGTATCTTTAGCGTGTTCTCGTTTGCGTCATTTCAACACGGCTTAGGATTGTTTTCGAGTTAGAACAGACCTTCAGAACAAAAGTTCTTAATCCTTTCACCATTAAGCAGTTGTTCGACTTAAGTATTGATGTTTAAAATATATGTTGTTTTAAAGCACCATAGGTTATATATTTCAACCTTAGGACTATAAAAATGGAAAAAAGTAACTTTTCTCTACCCGCGAAGCTCTTCCAGACATACAACATCATGAAGTGTAAGGCAAATACTCTGCAACTTTCCTAAGTGCCAACTTGAAAAAGCAATAAAATACGAAAGCACTTAGGACGTGAAGGAAAAAGATGAAAAATGGCATATGTCAGGTTTTCCCACCAACAGCGTCAGTTTGTAGATGTTTTCTTGAAGAATGGCTGAAACCGGGGAAGTACAATGCAATTTTTATTAAAGCTTGAATATATCCCAAACATTATATACATTTTCTATTGCGTCTAGTTTTACAGCCTAAAATCTCGAAAGGGCCACATTCATAACGAAAGGTATAGTCTCATGAAAAATGGTCTTTTTTATTTATAAGTTTGATTCCAACATTAAAAACAAGCAATTGTCCTAAATATTTTCCATTTTACCTTCAGTTTTCTGTATTTGTGAGTCCCCATGATATATGCACTGATTTGACTTTGTCTCTTTCCCGCTTCCGTTATGTACATGTTTATATTCTAAGTATGCCATCAAACAAATACAATATAATTAAACAACTCACACAGTTCGGGAATAAGATTGTATCAGCTAGCGTCCTAATTGATTGACATAACTGGAATTGTGGCATTTTGCTTAGTTTATGTACAATAGAATGAATAAGGAGAACTCTCTTATTGTATTACAATGTATTTTGCCACTAACAATGGCGGATGTACATGTAAGGTTGCGAAAGGGTAGACGATTGCAATTTACTCTTTGCACCCCCCCCCCTCCCCAATGGGAAAAATTTGTTGCAGTTCAAGCACTTTACTACAGAGTAGGATATTTTGGCTATTTTAGAAAGTGGGAAATCTGCCATTTTGGTTTTGAAAGAGCCCTGCCTCTTATGGTGTCTAAAGTTGAAAGTTATGCCAAAAGGTACATGACCGTACGTTTTGCATACAATATTGATAATTCAGCGTTCCCATTAAAACATGGCGCCCATTAAAAGTAGGTCGCGTGTAACAATCTTATGTTTGGACAATGATTGCACACACTTTATATTCAAGTTGTGAAAAAATACCATTGAGAATATCCAACATGACTGTGAACATTTTCTTCAACGTACTTAAACAAGAACAGCTAAATCAAATGTAATCAATAATGGATGACAGGTAGAAAAAATCTTCCGATTACAATGTTAGCATATATCGTAATGATAGAAAACTTGTGTAGTGATTTTATCTTTATAAATATGGTAGTTATGGCATGCCATAAAATAGTCCATTTTTCCGGGAACTTTTAAATAGAAGATGTAACAGTAATGACATGTTAACAATTTTTTGGCTATGTTTTCGCCGTGTACTTTTATTACTGTTTTGGCAACATTAATAAGTTATGGTAAGAAAGCAAGATCTAAAACATTCTTTTTAATAAAAGTTACAAAGCAACGACCCTTTTTTCCTCCTCTTCTAATAACCACCTCCCATATCCGTTCTTTCTCTTTCCATTTAATCCCAAAACGGCACCCTTTTCCCGAAAACCCACACCGTGTTATTGCAGCAATTGCGATATGTTTGCTCTGTGTGTTTCAATTTCAACAGTTCCCTATCCACGGATTCCAGGGTGTCAGTGCACACCATAGTCCCTGTGTCTCTCAACTGTCAACACACGCCGCTGTCGGTCAATATGAGAATTCCACAGCGACACGCACGTTGCGTTTGTACACGGGGTAACCCTCCCGCGTGTTTTGGCAGTTTTGAGCCTAAAGTATACATAAGCTTTATTGTACATAAACTTCGCCACATACCGTTGTTTTTGCAGCCGGCCCATTTAAATGGCCAGTTTGTGTGGAGATGCAAGACTTGATTGGTGGTAATTGGGTTTTGTAACCCATTTGGTGTTATTTGGTGGAAGGGTAGTCTAAATTAAACCAAGCTGTCGAAAATTTAATGTTGATGAATGTTGGATTATTCTGGACTGGTTTTAGTGACAGATGTTTCTTTTGCTCTTACGGAACATGTAACAGAAGTATGTCTGTAAATTTGTTAAATTTCATATGGTAACTCAAGTATAACTTGTGGCAGATGAATTATTAACAATGCTTGTTATTTACGTTTTTAGAATTGGATTTTTTCTCTTTTCTTGGAAATATAAAATGTAACTTGCCACACACCCCTACCTTCACTTGAAATCAGTTTCATTTTCTCTTGTCAGTCTAGCGAAACCACAAAAATGAAACCTGTTCTTGTTCACATATGCGCGAGTATGCTGGGGAAATATATTTACTTGTAGAACAAGGATAGACCATGAACCCATGGCTTGCATATTTATACCGGCTTCTAATTCCAACTTTCATTTGGGCTTTATTAAGCAATATCTCTGTGGCTTTGCGTATAGGCAGGTAGCTATTTTTAGTCAACAGAATTGCACAGTGTCTCTGTGAAAGTAAAGAGACATTGCAGGTGTTTTGAATCAATATGGCCTCGTGGGGAGGGGAGTGATTGCCCTATCACAACCATTGCGACACAAGGATACCTGTCGCAACTAACACAATCAAACTTCAAGTAACAAGTCTGATTTCATTCTTAAAAATTTAATTTAGACATTAACTGGCAACAATTAAAAAAGAGGAAGCGAGGCGGGGACATTCACCTCTCTTGACAAGGAAAATATATATTTTTTGAATGGCTATAATTTTTTATTATAGAAAAAAATCGTCATTTATTCCAGACGAGTACGCCGAGTATTCCACGGAACCCAGGGAGTGTGTGAACTGCGGTGCTATCCAGACCCCATTATGGCGACGTGACGGCACGGGACACTATCTTTGCAACGCCTGCGGACTGTACCATAAAATGAGAACGGTAAGACGGACGGAAGACTGTTATGTTTAAAATGATTTTTAAGTTGGGTTATTTTGGCATAATGGTTTTTGTGATTTAAACGTGACTTGATGGGGAGAAGAGAGAAATATTATTTTTATGACTTAAATTTTAAATAATAGAGGTCGGATTAGAGATCTTGGTTTCAGCACGTTGATGTACTATTTACTCTATCACACACACACGTGCACGCACGCACGCACACACAAACACGTATTAGTGTTCGTATTCCGGACAGGACATTTGCACTATTAGACTATATTGACTTAAGCCCCATTTACATAGGCACCACTGATCTAAGTGCAACGACTTTTGCTGAATGCAATCAGTTTAACAGATCAACACGCCTCCTCCTGGAGTTTCAGAGAACACAAAAAAGCTGGAGATTATACGAGTACGTTAGAAACAAGAGGAGGCGCGTCATTCAGTTAAGCTGATTGCACTCAGCGAGAACCCCCTCAGAGTTGGGTCGAGCCATGTAGACCGATGGTGTCGATGGGAATGGGGTCTTAGTCATTTCCTTTAACCAATGTCTCCACCTAGTCTGACTGGAAAAGTGAAAGTGTGCCTGGCTAAAACTCTTCTTTCGGACAAAATGCCACTTCACAATTAGCTTTGCAGTCACTTCCTCCATCGGCTCAAATCTCCACGCGGGTTGAATATTCAAACTTTGTACCCTGTAGGTAAACAACGGCCTCACTAGTCCGATGTTGAAGTCGTCCAGCCCCAGCCAGTTACATACGCTGCCCAGTGGGTACCTTACTCCGACCACCCAGCCAGGCGGGGTGATGCCCAACAGCCTGCCCTCCACTGTGGACGACATGGGGCAGAACTCCCAGGCCTATAACAAGGTAATTGGTTCGATTTGGAATGAGAAGTCTCTATACACCGGACATATTGCGTCTCTGCTGTTGGGCTGCGTAGACAGCAGGAGCTGTCGTTTTGTTACAACTGTAGATCTCCGTACTGTGTTTTAACAATCAAAATTGATGATTAGACGGGTTTGGGATTTTAACTTCGATAGGCGTAGTATTTCGCACGTATCCTTGATCTTATTTTGCATATTTGTGAGGATGTGTGCGCGCATGTGTCTGCATGCGTCTCTCTCTCTCTCTCTCTCTCTCTCTCTCTCTGTGTGTGTGTGTGTGTGTGTGTGTATGTGAGTGCCATTCTTGTACACCAGCATATGTCCAATGTACATGTTTTTGTGTTGTTGTCTAAAGCGAGAGAGAGGGAGAGAGAGAGATACTAACAATGATATTCTAGCTACAAGTATCAGCTGGACAATAATGCACCGCGTGTAACGTCACATGAATATACTTTGTTGGGAAAAAAAGACAATGATGAAAAAGGACAGTTTACTGTACTCTTTCCAAGCACTGGCTCTCGGTTTTCGTTTCATTTTGACCGAACTGACAATATACATGAACCGAGCAACAACAATGCAGACACGCCGAGTATAGCTTGCCATGTTGCATCATTATGGATCTGCACGAAGCGCATATGTAAATGTCTCTATCACCCGGACACACACATATCGCCATCGGCACGTCTAGGTGCGTACACACGCAGACCCAGGTTACAGTCGACCGGAAATTGACTAAAACGCGTCATAAGAGGTCATAACTCCGTCATTGGTATTCACTCATTCATTCATTCATCCATTCATTCATTCGTTCACTCGTTCATTCATTTATCCATTCAGTCAGTCATAAAGTCAGTTATTAAGTCAACCAATCAATCAATAATTCTATTTATTTATTCCTCAGTTTATTTGTTCATATATTCATCCGTGCGTATATTCATTTGTTTTTTCATTTATCTAAACTACATATAAAGTAGGTACGTACATATATCATTGCCTCTATTTGATCGATTAATTTAAATAAATGGAATGGTTTAATATTCATTCTTTAATTAACTAATGCTTAGTTCTGATATCTGATAATATCTGTTGTTTCAGGGCGGCGGTGGCGGGGGCAGTAGACGAGCGGGCCTCTCGTGCGCCAACTGCAGCACCACTACCACCACGCTATGGAGGAGAAACAACGAAGGAGAACCAGTGTGTAACGCGTGCGGCCTGTATTATAAACTTCACCAGGTAAGAGACGGGTGGGGATAAACTGAGGCCCCGTGTTTGTAACTTAAAAGACAGTTATTCATTCGATTCATACAGGTTAGGGTTAGCTTGACGTAAGTGGGTCAAAATCTGGGACGGGGCTTATCCTGTGCAAGTCAATGGGAACCCGGTTTGTATCGCAGGGGACTCTACGGTACATGCGACCGATCATTATATGATAAAGGAACAGTACAGGAGAGATTTGTGTTGAACCTAGGACGCAAGAGGTTGCACTTAAGTAGGTTTGAAATGGCGTTTTTAATGACAATTTAGATCCTTACAACTGGAGATCTTGTAGAAAACAACATCGTACACATAATGACAGTGCTCAGTGTCTGTTAATAGAGACATTTATATATGTACGTATAAATTTATGGTCGACAATAAAAATCAATATAAAGACCTTGTTCATATTAATATTGTTTTAGATTTACGTTGTGTAAAGTCGACACTGGCATATCAAGGGCTATGTGTCAAAATCTGATATTAACACTATCAACTTAACAAACAAACTGGAAGTTAATCCTCTTGAAATCCGGTCCGTATCCGTGTACCCTGACTCTTAACGCGCGCACATTTTCCTAATAAGAAGTGCAGTATTGATATATTTTACGCAAGTTATAATGGCAGTTGAAATATCAAAATCTATAGACAATTTGATGGCTCGTTATACGTTCGTTCTTGATTTGAATTACCAAAAAGCATATGCTGATGAAATACGTATGCGAAAGGGAAAGTTCAGGGGATTTTAAGTCATAGCCCTTCCTTTTTTGATCGGCAAAAGCCTATACCTATATGATAAAAGTATGTTGCCCCTTTTCAAGACCTGTATTTTATCTTAGTTTAAATGTGAAAATATGTATACACGTAGAGGTACTTATAATTAACCAACTTAAGCCAAGTAGAGTAATTGCAGTCTTAGGTAGCACATTCAGTGGATATATTTTAAGTTAAGAATTCGATATCGAGGTCATGAATTTGTAAAGCCAGTTGGTATATTGTTGAGTATTTATAGGTAGATTATTTTAGATATTGTAGAAAATGATGTGTTCGTGTGACTGTCCCGTTCTTGGGATATCTCTTATTATATTACGTGACAAAGTTTCATACAAGGATTCTTTAACATCGTTTTAACAAGGTCACGATTAAATGACAATGTAATATAAAAAGTTATATTTCAGGTAAGTCGACCAATTTCTATGCGCAAAGATGGAATCCAAACCAGAAAAAGAAAACCAAAAACTCTGAGGTCGCCGAAGTCGCCATCTACCGGCAATAATTCATCAGGTGAGATATGATAATGTGGCGTGTCTCACCTATAGCAATTTAACGTTGTGGCTGATTGTCTTTTATAACATTCCGGCTGATACCGTACATGTAGATCTAAATCTTACATGTAAGACACATTTACCATATAATGTTTTGTATTCTTTAGCTTCTTTTGGATAAGTTAGCTTCCTCAACTTTTGCATATTCCATAAACAATTCAGTATATTCCATTTCCAGTTTTAAAAAACCTTTTCCTTTGCGGCATTCCTTTCCATACTACCAACAATGATTCAACTGTGCATATGTGCCTCACAAACTAGCGTGCATTCACTTTTTTTACCGAGATTGTACTTACTGACCTGTAGGCTACTGTTTTATCCTTATCTTCATTTTTTTTTTAAAGAAGACACTTCCAAAAGAAACTTAACGCGGTTCTAGCTGTGAGACAACAACAAAAAAAAAAAAAAAAAAAAGGAAACCCCTATTTCACCGTGGTTTCGTTTTCTTTCAGAAATGAAAGCGATGCAGGCTGCCTCCTTGCCCACCGTACCGACGCCTTACCAGACATCCTCCAGTGTGTACGGGCCATTCAGCAGCATGGGGGTGCCTCATGGCATGATGATACCCTCAGCGCCATCTGTAGGCGTCGGTAGGTATTACTATAGGTTGTAAAAATGGTAATATTTATTGGGCAATGTGTGTCCTATTTTGATTAGTAGGGGTAGCTATAAAAGTGAAGTACGTGGAGTGCAAAATGTGGAAAAGGCTAAAATGAGATAGAGTGAAAAAATTTAGTTTGAATGCAGTCATATTTTTAAAAAAGTGGGCCTAATCGAAGAAAATGACGGTTTGGTTTTTCATGTACAGACCTCACTGAGTGTACTAGTTACATATAGCTTCAACAAGCTGTATCTTCACAGAATATTTTAGATGATAATATGCCGTTCTAGTTTTGAGTCACATAAGAAAACGCATTAAGTCAACATCGTGTTGCAGGTACGATACCCGGCAGCAACCGCTACCAGAACGTGAACGTGCAATCCAGTCCTGTCTCCATGTCCAGCCAGCAGACGACAGCATACGGGCAGATGACAGTGGGCCACATGCACACGAGATCAACCCCGGAAGTGACGTCAGGTTACACTGCGCATGCTCAGTATAAAAATCCCGGCATGCAGCTGCCGACCACGCTGACCACGTATCCTGGCATGGTGGGAAGTATGTCGGATCATCTCCCGCCAATCTACGTCAACCCGTCGCCGCCCAAGGCTGTGCCCGTGAACCTGGATACGGACACCCAGAGACACAGCGGCAGCGAGAGTCACGTGACAACTGGAGAAACCGCGCAGGCGCAGGAGACTTCTGGGGAGATGAGGGATATTACTCCACTGAGACCTGTAGAAGCTAGCACAGGATGAACAATTTATCAGTCCTTTAGGACCTGTTGACTAGAGGAAAATTGCGTTCCCAAGGAGACTTGTTGAATTCAAGTTTGATGACATTTTCCAGCAATATAGTTCAATGGAACAATAACCACGCGTTATCACAAAGGAATTCGTGTTACGAGAAGAAGACGATTACTTTGCCATGTTGATCAGGCCAACATTGATGGCTTTTGCCAGTATACGTCCAATAGCCACGTACTATTTTGAAGGGACTTGTTTGTTGAAGGAAGGTTAGATTGATCTAATTATTGGTAAGACCTTCAAAGATTGAACTGAAAGATAGTGGACTTTCTGCAAATGGTTTCGCAGAGGTCAAATTCGAAACCATAGAAGTGAATTTTGTATCAAGATATTTGCAATGCTTCAGTTGGGTTTCTTGTTCTAAACTATTCAAAAAGTAACGTTTTACCCGATGTTATTCTTTAACAGACAACCCAGGCCAGCAAGACCGAAAATGTTATTTATATGACAATTGATAAAATGCCCTTTCATTATAAAATATATAAAAGTTGTTCTCTAAAATTTATAGAAACAATTACTGAAACTAAGCTTAGAAATGTAGAGGGTTAAGAAAAAAAAATGTTTAATTTGTGTTGCAGATTTGAACAGTGGCCATGTGTTTCGCAGCTTCGTGAATAATAATAATGGCATTCCGTGGTGCCCGTGATTTTGCTATTTGCATATCTTGCCGGACCATTTCTGTCGGCAGTCATTACATTAAAAACTAAATAGATATTTATACGTAGATAGATATTCTAGTGGACCAAAGACAAAAATGTTATAAAAAGTTAATCAGAGCATGTAATTCTAAGTAGTGCCAATGAAATTGAAATCATTTTGTTTTCTATGAAGTATACAAATGTTACCTCTGATTTTAAATTTTGTTTTTGATTTATCGTTGTTTTTATTGGTAGATTATTTTAGATATTGTACAAACATTGATTTGTTCCTGTGGATGTCCTGTTCTTGGAATATCTGTTATTATACAACAGTGAGGTAATCAGTTATGAACGCGTTTATTTTATTAATAATAATAATAATTAATAAATTTAACATAAACTTACGTTAGATCGTCTTCTAAAGACGTTGAAAGACTGACCAGCGTTTCACGGCTGTGGAATTTTGTTGATATATAAGAGATACTTTTTAGAGTGGAACGTGACGTTACGATAGAGCCATTCGCCGCATAAATACTTAAAATGTTTTATTTGCCTTTATGTCTATCGGGCAGACGTCCCTTTACTTATCTGTTGTAATAAATATATATTAAACTTTTGATAGATTTTTCTCATTGGTTTTTGAACGAAAAGAATGTCTTTATGATTAATGATTAATTATCCCGATGAAATCAATTTTTTTTAAATATCAAATAGCCTCACACATAATTCGGTACCGTGAGGGGAAAAAAAGGGGCATTGCGTCACAGCCGATGATTATCCAACGATTCTTTGGAGTATAACAAAGACTGCAGAAGTACAGAAAGACGCATATTATTGCGTACAAGTTTTCTCCCCTAAAATAACCAATTTATGTTAAGATTTCTCTTAAGATTTCATGTAACCTATCTTTAACTGTTCCCGTTTTTTTTTAATTTCCTGATTTCGCGGCTAACACTTTGCACTTGCGATTTTCTGTCGTCATGTATTGTGTGATTGCTATGAATTTTGCAACACTGCACACTACTGACTGCATTGTGAGATCCATCCAACTTCCGCACGTGGGAGTACGAAATTAGGCGATTAAAAAAAATCTACATTTTATATAGGCCTACTAGAAGTCGAACCCCCGATCGTTTTAATATTGAGGTGTGCCTTTGTAAAGGCGTGTGCGGAGTTACCATGAACTCGCATAACAGAATAAACATGATATAAAAATTAGGACCGCAAAACTGAATAACTCGATGGTAACCCTATCATATTACGGTGTGATGTTTAAGCACCGATATCGAGGGCAAGTTCGGAATGTTTTTTCTCTTTCCTTATCGGTATTCACAGAAGAGCTGATCTACATCTATAATAGTAAACATTGACGCACGTGCTGTATGTTAATGAGCATATGTCTTCTTCGTGAATCCTGAAAAGTAGGACCCAGAGGACTAATTCCTAATAAGATATAGATAACACTGAGGACAAGGAAGTTAATTTTATGGTGTTACATTTTATTTTGGCAAAATAAATTCTTAGTCGCCCACGATACGTAAAATTACTCTTGTTTCCATAAGGTTCACGAGTCGATATAATCTAACAGTATTCACATTGATCATGTCCCTGATCTATTTGAACAGGTAATAGGCAAATTATACACAAACGTGTTTGGCGATTTTACCAAAAATAGAATTTATATAAACGTGTAAAGACGACTTTTCGTTATGGCAGACATTTCGAGTTTTTCATTTCAAAATGGTCTTAACTTGCTGCCGCTCGCTCATGGCCATGACTGCGGGGAGCCAGTACTTTACTTTTAAATTGAGTGCGACCGTTCTTATTTTTTACTTGTTTCCGTTTAACAAATGAGCACTAGCCTAAGCTTTCCAACTTAATCTGCGTAGCGCTCGTCCACGCAAACAGTTTTATTAGTGTCTGTTTGGACCGACAGAAGAAATGATGCTGCAACTCGTCTGCTTGTGTTTCCTGGCTTACTCGGCGGTCGCAGAGGTAACACATTATTTGATTGATTTCATCGGGATAATTAACCATGTTCAAAACCTTTTTGTTCAATTATTTAGTAACTAACCTTTTCAATGAATCAGCTGAGAAAGAAAAATATCATAAAATATTTAAAATGGATATGCGCACGATTTTAAAATAGAATATTATCAAAATAACAGTTGTTTTTATCTGATAAACGTTATACTATCGACAAACAGATCCATCATCTTGAGATAAAACGTTGTGTTTAAGGACTTGCGTACTCAAGACGATGTTTTTCTTTAAACGACAGCGCTTGTTGAATAGCATGAAAAAGTCTGAAAATATAAACAGACATATATCTGGCGTTGCTTCAGGTAGAGCTTCGTGCAACTTTCGCCGCACCGAAAGGTAGGTAATATACCAGTTAATCAAAAAAGTTTTACGCTACAAGAACCTGTCAGCTATCTTTATTGCTGTTTTATCTGTTATAGTATTCTAAATAACAAAATCAATATAGGTATTCAATAAACATTATATAAATGCTCTAAATGAATAATTTTTCTTTAAAGCGCGTTATAATTTTGGCTATTCGTACACGACGTAAAAAGTAATTTTTTCCCTTTACTCTAAATGCTTGTCCGACATAATAATGTTACCTGAATCAAAATAATACAATATGAAATAGGTTGAATAATAAAATACAGACAGATAGTGAACAACGGCACTCCAGTTGATTTGGAATTTATGAATCAAACACCCATTACTATATCTGTACGTAAGCCAAAACTACCATGGAAGCTCTTTGGACAGAGCCATTGAGAATAGCCCCATATGTCTCGTGTATTTCAGATGTCCAGCTGACCTTTAGTGACTTGTCCAGTCGAGCGGTCAACAAGAGGATGAACGGGATGGCGCGTGAGTGACATAAAATCATATAATAGCCCACTGGTTGTTAATATGCTATCTAGAGCTTCTGAAAGGGTACCCTGAATTTCTGAGGTCCCTGGAAACTCTAATCAGTTTGATTTTTCCACTGGCATTTGGTATTTGCATGAATTTCCAGTAACTGTACCTCAGACTGTTGATACACAGCAAACACGTAACGTTATTATAACGTTACCATAACGTTAATATAATAAAAAACGTTATTGTAACGTTATAGTATCATTCAGTGTTAACTGGGTAAGCGGGAATATATGAAAATATAAAAATGAAGAAACAATATGCACTGCGTTAAAACCGCAAGATTTTATTTGCTCATTTATTGATATGTGGTAATACACAATAAATAAATAAATAAATAAATAAATAAAATAACTTTTTTTGCATAAAGCAACAGCCCTTGTTATTGCCTTTACTTCATTTCAGCGTGTCAGGACCACGATAAAGTCATGGTGTCACTGACAGGTCCCCAGGGCCCCATCATTAAGAATGAGACGTGCCACGAGTTCTTCATGCAGACTGGGATAGCGTTCTGCAGCCATCTGGAACTTTCCCAGCGCTGCTGTGGCACACATTATAGATACTGCGGCCGTACGTATTAGGGAGGTGTGGTGTGGTTTGTTGTGTGTGTGTGTGTGTGTGTGTGGGTTGGGGGGGGGGGGAATATGGGTGAAGAGGTAAGGTGGGAGGGGTCAATATGGGGCATTGAGGGGGTGGTGTGAGGAGGGGAGGAAATACCGGTACAAGGTAATGAGGGGGTGCTGAGGGGAGGGGGTGCAGCGTGGGAAACCGAGGCAGGTGGTGCTGAGAGGGTGATGAAGGGTTATAAGGGGGATGAGTGGGGTACTAATGGGAGGAGGGATACGGACGCTAAGGGTTTGCAGGGAATGGAGGGAGCAATATGGGGTACTGAGAGGGAAGGGGGTGATATATAATGTCACAATAGTAGTACTGGGTATACATCTATTACAGCTAATGAATACACACTCAACATAAAAAAAAAAACATCGGAAACATCGTAATTCTGAATAATTATAAGATAGCCATATTAGCCTAGGTAAATATTTTAACCAAATAATAAACGCAACCACCATTCGTTACTTTTTCATGTACAATGAAGATTTCCCCAGTACATTACATATATTTTTTTATTATAGAAAAACAATTACATGTTTCCGGACATTTTGGTCTAGTATGTATTTGCATACAAATCTTCCAGAGTGTAACGACATGCCCAATGGCAAGCTGAACGGTATGCCCTGTAAAGACTACTTTCTGAAGACTGGCCACCAACACTGCAGAGATTTCCAGGCGGCGGCCGTATGTTGCTCCAGCAGAAGGAAAGTGTGCGACAGTAAGTTATGCTAATTAGATGGGTAGAGGTAAAACGGACAACCAAATGACGTTTAAATCTCCATAAAATTCAATTTTAAATCAACAAATTCCAAGACTAAAGCGAAAATCACATTACTTATTTATATTTAAATAAACACTGCCAAAATGGTTTTCTTGAACAAGTTCTCACGTCCCTTTTCTTTATGAACCTAAAGTTACTCACCCATTCATTCTTACTGGCCCTCATTATTTATTTATTTTTTCGCTTATTTAATCTAACTGACTGCTCATTGTAAAATTATTTATTTGATTATTTATTTATTCATCATTTCTTGATATATTTATTTAATTATCTTGCAGACTGTTTCGGCGACACTGCCCACGTTCTTCTTAACAACATGACGTGTGAAATGCTCCTGGAAACACAGGGACTCCAGCTGTGTGATCACCACTTGGTTGTACAACACTGCTGTAGTACCAGGGCGGCTATGTGTGGTCAGTGGTGTCCTAGCTTATCCCATTTAATTTTGGCTGCTGACCATTATTATATTCATAATACGAGTTTCAATGTTTACCAGAAACTAACCTCTTACATCGTTTTTTTTTTGTCTGCGTGTGTAGAATTTTACTAGATAACAAATTGAGTATAGATATTCAATGAAGATTATGTAAACGCGCAAAATGAATAATTCCTGTTTAAAAATACGTAAAAATACCATGCGCTTTATTGGTTTTGGAAATTCGTACATGCAGTTAAAAATGGTTCTTTGCCTAATGTTGGTTCTTCTCTTTGCCTTTATTTATAACAAAACTGCTTTCGTGTCTTTTCTATCAAACGTGTTGAAGAAAAATAAAATATCTTTCATGCATGCAGAACTACAATAATGTTCCAGTAATATATTTTTTAATTTGTTTTTGTTTCAGAGTGTAATGGAGACAACCCTAAAGCTCAGTTCTTCACCAAGGATTCAAAGCTGAAAGACTGCACCACCATCTTCCAAACAGACGACTTGGCTAGCGTGTGCGCCGAGCCGACGATCCTGAAATCTTGCTGCGAGTCGTTCAGTAAGAACTGCATTCAGAGCCCTCTACTGGGATAAATCCATGCAGTGCCCTCTGTTGGCAAAAATTCTGTTCCGCTAGAGGGTGCTTTTTTTGTGCAAGAAGATCCACAACCAAGAACCTGCTTTTATTTGGCTTAAGCATATTTTCATCAAAAACCACCGTTGTACTGATCCAATAGTAAATTTTGGTACGCTGTATTCCTGTTTTACATTATCACTGGTATATCTTAATTTTCTTTGTGAACACTCAGCCGAATGACATATATGCTCATCTTTTAAATCATAGAATGTTGCTCTGTAAAACATTTGGTGTAAATCTCTAGAAAGATATCAATCAATAAATGCTATTTTTGATAATCATATTATGATTTCATTTTATTCAGCAACATTCAATATAATGAAAAGTTTATTGCAATGTCATTTTTATATAAACATGCTATACCGGAATCACAGATGATAAATTTTACTTTTATTAAAACATGCTTTTAAAATCTGCATATTACTTGATGCCACTTATACTACTTATACTACTTGTCCTTATACTACTGGGACTACAAGTAGCAATCTACAATACCCACGATAGATAACAATTTGATATTATTAATCTCCTCAAACCAAATTACAAAAAATACTCTTTATTCATTTTTTAAATGCCACATCACAAGTGATTCTCCACACATGTGATTTTTCTGTTTATACATCCTGAGTAGTCTTTCCTTGTCCTTTTTCGTAATATACAATCTACTGCTGTATTATATTCTTTTTTGATACTGAGAAAACTTCTCATGTTCTCCTCATATGATCAGCATGCCTCTGACTGCTATAATATTAGAAATGATCATGACAGTACAAAGTCTATCCAGTCACCACTGTAGATTATTACCATTCTAAATGACATACCGAGCAGCTGTCCACAATAAAATTTCTTCCACAACTGAGCTCTCCCTCTCTCTATTCCTAGGCCTCCGATTACAAATTGTCAACTGGATTTTCAATACAGCTTTTTCTCTCTCTCTCTCTTTTCCCAATAAAATCTCCAATTAATTAAAGTCAAAATGATCTTTAGCACTTAAATTTCTTTTCAACATCTCCCTAAAATCCGAGATCACTCTTTGTCTACGGGGTCCTCATTGTGCGTCCATACCGGATGACGTTTTTGTAGAAAAGCACCAATTCCTTCCTGTCCATCTTTTATTTGAAGATTAGATACCATAACATCCTCTGCATGCCTGGATATATATATATATAAGTATATACACTTGACCAAAAAAGTTTGGAAACATGAAATTATTTTTCAATAATTCAAGAACTATGTTATGTAGTGGGAAAATTTTCAGTGCATGTAAAAAAAAAACAAAAAACAACAACAACAACAACAACAAAAAAAAAAAACAATGGTGAGTGCATTATCCATCAAGATTTGGTTAAACTATTTACTTCAGCTCATATGGTGATTTTGTAATTATTCAAAATAACGATGTTTTTCTCAACTTTTTGGGGTCAGATAAATATATTCAGGGTTAAAACTTCAGTCAACCATCCACCTGTATATTCTGATGCCAGAAAGTATTCCAAAATTTCTATTTCTTTCTTTTTCTCCAAAGGAGTTAACATGAATTAAGAAATAATTGGAATTCCTCAAAAATAATTTGTTATTCTAAGGTGCAAAAAAAAAAAACTGTCACCTGTATGCAGTGTTGCGATCCCACATAATCTGGTTGTAGAAACAAGCCTTTCCAATGGCCGTCACTGACCGACTTGTATCACAGATCTTTCTGGCAATTTTCAAAGTCTGAAACAATTTTTGAGAATTTCAAATTTGCTTTTAATAAAATCTATTTTCTAAATAATATAGGTCAGACTGAGAACACCTAAACTAAAATTGAAAAATTCAGTCTACATGTACCATGACGAGGGATACAGCAATAAATGGCTGTCTATGAGAACAGAACCGTAGCTAGGAATTTCAAAGGGGGGGGGGGGGTCTTTTTGTGAAAAAGAAAACGTTGACCTTCTTTGCCATAATGGCACAGAACACAGATCAAATAATAATCCAGAAAATGAACTTTTTTATAGCCAAAACAGCAGTTCATTAAATAACTCAAAGTTAGTCCACTAGACTAAAACAGCCTTTTGACAAAAGCCATTTTTATGCCTTGCCAAAAAAGTCAAAGATTTTTATTTATGAAGACCACCACTCACATTTATGGAATCAAAATAGACAAAAATATTAGTGCAAGTTCTTAAAGTGAAGACAAACTTAAGAAGATTTTATATTTGAGAAACAAAAATCCACAGAACTTCAGAGGCACTTGTATAAATGGAAAAAACATCACTAACCTCTTCTTCCACCTTATCCTCAGGGACCACCTTGCTTACCAGCCCCGCCCTGAATGCCTCTGATGCACTTATTGGGAACCCAGTTAGTAACATCTCCATGGCAACCTTCCTGGGGACAGCTCTGGCCAAAGCGACACCTGGTGTTGAACAGAACAACCCAATGTTTACCCTGCAAAGAGATAAAGAGTTTCATTATTAAGTTCATCAATGATTAGACAGTAATTCTCAAATATCTGTTATCTCAAAGTCTTATACAATTTATTATTCTAGTGTAACGAAAGTTTCACAGGGACATGGACCATTTTTAGGGTTTGTACCACCAGCTAAATGTCTGGATTTAAATACTATTGTTTTGGGGTAGAAAGGAGAGGGTGCAATCTTTTATCTTTCCACAGTCTTCCAACATGGATTATAAAATATAATCAACCATTGTACCAATAGTACACATCACTTACTAAATATTTGCCTGACTTTCAGTGGTCTCAAATGACCACACTAGTTCAAAAGAAAAATAATCTCACCCTGGTGTTGCAAATCTCGCTGTCTCTGCTGCTATAGCCACGTCACAACTTGCCACTAGCTGACAGCCAGCTGCTGTCGCCAACCCTCTCACTTCTGCCATCACTGGGACTGGGATGTCCTGGAGAAAAATAAGCAATTGGGATCAAAGAGGAGTGGTCACCTCATGGGTATGTACCACCGGCTGCATTGGCCAACCCTCTCACTTCTGCCATCACTGGGACTGGGATGTCCTGGAGAAAGAAAAATAAGGGAAGATGGAAAATACATACGATGATTAGAGGTGTGGTCACCTCATGGGTATGTACCACCAGTTGCACTGGCCAACCCTCTCACCTCTGCCATCACTGGGACTGGGGTGTCCTACAGAAAAGTTAAAAGGGGATCAGAGTGGTTTGGATACCTTCCGTGTATGTGCCACCAACTGAACAGGACGTAAGCATGGGGAAATATTACTCAGCTGCTAAGGCCTTTTCTGATATCAATGATACCATTATATTTGGCTAAAAGAGGCTTACTTGCTACCCTTCACCCTAAAGTAGGTTTTGGCCAAAACTTCATAACTCTTCATCTCTCAAATTCCTAAGATCATATGGCACTCTTGGTTCATTAATAAATTGTGCATTATAACCCAAAGACAAGCTAAAAATCTTAAGTTATACCTTTGTACTAACAATCAATACCTGTACTAGTGTCATGACCTCTGTACATCTTCTGAAGACTTTCTTATGGTACTCATGGCCTGTGGCTGATGTCTGGAAGAATATCATTACATAGCCTAATATAGATTTACCATATTTACAGCACTGGAACTATTTTTGTTTGAGAAAAAAACTGTGGTGTGAAGCAACTATAGAAGAGATGGCAATAAGTTTTGTTTGAATGAAACAATTTTTTACATGAGTAATACCAGTACATTGGTCTGTGAAGTAAACTAAATTATTTTTTAAAATTCCTGGTGAAAACTTGTCATGGAAATATGTGACACATGGTAAAAATGTAAATGATGAAGCTTGCATTTGGCCATAGGCAGCAAAGGAAAGATATTACTGACAGCAAAGCACCAAAATTGCTCTTCATTTTCTGAGAAAAAATGAATTTTCAAATCGGCTCACCAGTTCTGATAAGTCATGCCCTGAGGAGAATGCTGGACCTTCTGATGTCAGGATCAGGACTCGGACTTTTTCATCCTCCCCTCCCTCCATCAGCTCCTGTTTCAGACAATCCAGCATGGCCAGAGACAGTGCATTTCTGGATACATATTCAAATATTTTAAATATTTTGAGTGATAAATGATATATAAAATGAGCACTTTTTGGCACAATTAATGCAGCACTCAATACAAAGAGTATGTATTCTTAAAAATACATAAATATTATTGATTCTTGATTTATTCTATGCAATGAATTATTGGATTATTCCATGCAATTTCTGTACATTTTGCCTAAAACTTCATCCTTTACATTCAACTCACTACACAGATTGAACAACTTGTAAAACTTGTTAAAAAAATAATAAACCCTCAATTTCACCTTTTTCTTTCATTATTAAACTTCAGCCATCTTATTCCTCCTTCATCTCTTCTGAGCACCAATGGCGCCCCCTCTGCTTGTGCCTGTGTTGTAAGTGTTCTTCTAAAAAGTGACTTGGACAAGTTGACCTGTGTCGAGTAAGAGAGTCTTCTGTTTGAACTATTCATAAGATATCTGGTAGCACAATGAACCCTTGCAGGCATGTCTGCTTGCTGTTGTATGGCCCTGCAAACCTGGAGAATTAACATTTTGACAGATTAAAATGATGAAAAATTCAAAGTTAATTCTGATAAAAATAGATGATACTAGTACATGTATCGGTACATGTAAACTGCATGACATTTAGAGTCAAATCTACCCCAAAAGTGTATACATGCAAATGAAGATGATACATGTAAACTGCTTTAGCTCCCCACCGCCTAAAGACTTAACACAGGTGATTGTCGAGGACGGGGGGTGGGGGGTGGGGGGGGGGTGAAAGGTACGGGGGGGGGGGGGGGGTCGCCGGTTGGCCCACCAATTTACTGTTTAGAGTTCGACATTTACCATGGGCAATAAAAATAATAAGCAAGCCCACATTTATTCAAATAGCACACCAAACTGATCTTTAAAACTGAATTAATGTACATAATTAAAAACAGATAAATCTAAACTTTGTTTTACCGTGTGTTTATGAAACAAAACCGCAGGGCTTACCGCGGTCAGAGTTCTTCGCAGGCTGGCCATGTTTATATCACGTGACCTATTGGTAATGTGAAACGCACGTCAAAAGTTGTAATTTATCCCAACACCTCTGTCCCTTTTAGTTGATGATATCATCTTTAAATTTTACGTATTATCTGGATAAAGTAACAAGAATAATATAATGAGTGTACAGTTTGATTTTACAAAGTAATGTAACTAATAACGACTTATGGTGCCCCTTGCGTTTGGTGTTGTTAAATATGCTCGAGGTAACATTTAGGGAGAAACATATATTAATAACTCAAATACCTTTTAATCATAAAAAATGAAGTGAGCATGTCCATAAATTATCGAAACCTACATGGGATACATAAAAATATATTTTGGTCATATTTAGAAAAACAACTCACATTTTTTATTAAAATTTTGACTGAAATAAAATGCCTTCGTCTTCTCCCCAAGAAGTCAATTGTCGCTGTCTAACAACAGCAACCAAATGTTTGGCTGTTTTATTGAAGCGACTCAAGCACGCTCTAATAACCTCTAAGGTTGATACGAGTACATACAACTTTATAAATGTGACAGTTCGCAAAAAAGGCTGATTAAGAGACGCACAGAAAAAAATAAGAAGATGGAATGGATATATTTGGTGCTAGGGATAGCGGCGCTGATTTCGTGTGGTTGGCAGCCAAGTTTGGCGGACTCAATCTCTGGTGAGTCGAAGGATTAATGATTAATAAGGACTTGAGCGTATTACTCGATACTCACTGGATTTCTTTTTACGATTCAGTGCTAGACTTCTTTGCTGCACGCTAACTTACGACGACAGTTATATCAGGATGTAATTATTTGGCCGTAGATCACTCTAAAACGACACGATGTAGATTGTGCTTTACTGACTTGAGCAAAGTTGAGGTTTTAACGAAATGCCATGCTTCAAAAGACGTAGTTAGGGAATGATGCTGATACTGTGTACCAGATTATTCCTCTTGTAAGGAAATTTTAACTCTGTGCATGTTTATTACTGGTTCAGGATTATGAAGTGGATTATTTGAATAATATTGTTCGAGACCCAAGAAATGGTTAATTGGGGGGGTGGGGGTGGGGGGGGTGGGGGGTGGGGTGAAGAACAGATTTTGCTTTACTCCACCAAGGCAGATTTATTGTATATATATGCCCCTGTGGCTGTGGTAAAAATACCATGATCATATTGCTGGTGTGATTCTTGCTAGTTAAAATCAATTTCACATACTAGTACATGTTACTGTAGTTCTGTGCAACTGACTTGTCGTGCTGTACAAGGAAGTTTGTTAAGGATATTTGTCCCCCTTGGGCTAAAACTTATTTTCAGTGTCTGGATGAAAATAAAGGGATACAATATCCTTAAACCATTTAAACTGAGTCAAGCGTACTAATAGAATATCATATGACTTAAGTTACATGTCTTTTTACATGTTATGTATGTACCACAATATCTTTGTACCAGAGCATGTCATGACCATATTATTTGATTTTCCTGTTCTTCCTGGTCTATGGTATTTGTTCAGAAAGACTGAAAATCATGAAAAATAAAGATGGTTTATGGAGAGAGTGATTTAAGCCAGTGGGAATTAAGTTCAGTCAAATTCTTTGTCTGAAGAGCAAGGCAACCTTTAGTGCGCCTTTGACCTATTTATAACAGAGCTCTGGCACAGTTATTACACAGTTACATACATCGTGGAAGCCACGCCTTTTTCAAACAGTCGAGTTGTTTCTTATCGGTTCGGGAATAGAACTTGAACTGTTGACCTATGAGTGTCTCTCAAGGATTCAAGTTTTGATACAGTACACGCCCTTACTATTTGGCTTAATTTTTGTTGAGGTTGACAAAATACTGTAAATTTGGCTGATTCCCCAGTGAGTCATGGATTTTGAGAAATAGAATAGAAGAAAAAGTGGGAACATATGAATTGAGCCTTTTTATAGATATTGTAATAAGAATGGATTTTTAGTACTACTTACTAATGACCCCCCTCCCCATTTGTAGTGGATAAAGCCTTCTACTCACCCTGTTTATCACTGTTTCAACAGAGCTAGTATAAGTTTCTTGCTGGGGTTATAGAGATTGTGTAGAGATGTGCTTCAAATTGGGTGTGAAATACAGGGTGAAAACACAAAGAAGACTACATGTACTTACTAGTAACAACATCCAAGTGGTATCCTAACAAAAATGATTTAGGTGCATATATAGTTGATTATATATTTCAAATAGTATGAGAAACTCAGAGAGAAAAGGTTAAAGACAAAAGTCACAAGGTCTTCTGCTAAGATTATAAAAAAATGAAAAAAGAACATGTGTGTACTGGTGCTAAGGCAGTATTGATTGGCACTATGAACTTTAACTCCAGGCAGTGTGCCCAGGTGACCACATATTGAATCAGGTTGTTGGCACAGTGACTGGAGCATGACCCTCATTTACTTAATACTTGGTGGATTTCATCAGTATAAGTGTTTATTTTGGATGACATATCTTATTGAATGTTCGACATGATACCATAGATAACGCGCCGTAGGGCAGGTGCATGTGAAAGTATGCTGATTGTTTCTTTATCGATCTAAACGATACAAACCATAACTGCTGGTGCATGATGTGTACCATGAAACAAGTTTTATAGTTGATTAAATAAGTTTTAAAAAATAAATGATTTGAGTTTAGTCATATAAAAATAAATCACATGCTGTGTATATACCAGCTTGATTGTTTCCTCGCAACCAGCTGATTAGATTCGAGTTTTAGACCCCCCCTTCCCCCTCCTCCTCCTCCTCCTCCCCCCCCCCCCAAGCTCCAGGGGCTTTATTGATTTCATCTGCCCACACTTTTCAAGTACCCATCTCACACAGGTAAATATCATCCATCTCCATTACCACACCTTCAGGTGGGTGTTAATTAATAGATACATTGTGTATGAGGCTGGCCAGCCCAATAAAATCAGATTATAATTAGCTTACCAGTAATTAATTAAGTTGAATATTGATAAAAAAAGCACTTCAGCTGTAGTGTTTGGAGAAGGTGGAGGTTATGTACATATAATTTCAAGGGATGAATATACCAGTATATTTTTACTAGTACACATGCAGTAGTACTCTCTTTGCTGTTTTCTTTGCTTCTTTGACAGAAATTTAAGCTTTGGAATTTTTTTTGCAGGGAGGGAGGGGGGAAAGTGTGTGCTTGTATTCATTCTACCTCGCCTATAGTCAGTGTCAAATACTTGATCCAAATGACACTAATAAAAAAGCAATTGACACTGTATTCAATATTCTTTGCACAATCCCAACTTCCTTGATTAAAGTGCTTGATACTCACACCTCACTGCTCTTGAGGATTGCTTTTCAAACAGCAGGAAGTTCATGGAAATAAAGCCAGTTGAATTAAATCACAATAACAATAGAATATGCACATATTTATCGTTACCTGAACGAGGGCAGAGTGCTCACAATGACTGTTCGATTGTTTGTGTTGTTGTACTTAAAAGCAGCTCTTGACTTCTAGATCCTGTTTTCCAAAGAATAGAAAGTGTTAGCAAATCAGTTGCCTCATCCATAGAGATGAGCTTCTTCACATTTTGCACGTATTTAGAATTGAATAAAATTACAATTATATTTATGTTAAACAAAAATAGTTGGATTGCACATGTATTTAAATATAAATTACTAATAATGCCTTTAGTTACGTTGTTAATATACTTTTTGATTACTAGTATTTTATCATCAAGGGTTATAGAATGTGAAATATTGTTTTTCAGATGAGATTGCTGACAATACAGTTCAGTTGAAATTCTACTATGTGTCTTCATCTCAGGTAAATAACATTTTTATTCTAATATTTTGTCCTGTTTTTATACTGTTTTATCCTAATTTATCCTGTTTTTAAGATAAAGTGTGTATTTAATTCATGAAGGTGCGTGTATACTGTATGTGCATGTATGTGTGTACAGCTGTGTGTGTGTGTGTGTGTATGTGTATGTGTGTGTGTGAGTGTGAGAGAGAGAGAGAAAGAGATGGGGGATTCTATGTTTATGAATGTGCTTGCATGTGCATGCATGTCCAGGCCAGTAGCCAGCAATTTCAGAGGGGGGGGGGGTTCATTTTCTGAAAAAGTGGACCTTTTATCATACAAGTATATACAGCAGGTCAAATTATACCCAGAGTGGACCTTTTCCCAGCAAAAAGGGTGGTTCTTTCGAACCCCCCGAACCCCCTGGCTACGGGCCTGATGTCTGTATGCACTTGTATGTACCAGTATGTGCAAGCATGCATGTTCTTAAGCTAGTTTACAGAACTTCAGCTGCAGTAGTACACTTCAATTGACTAATGAAGCTTACCTGAACTAGTAAGTCATGCAAGGATAATGTTAAGTGCTTCAGTTAAATTGTTCATTAGTTTGATGAGGATTTGGTAAAGCCACAGGTAGAAACTTCTATCAGGGATTGGTTTAATTTATCAAGNTGTACCAGTATGTGCAAGCATGCATGTTCTTAAGCTAGTTTACAGAACTTCAGCTGCAGTAGTACACTTCAATTGACTAATGAAGCTTACCTGAACTAGTAAGTCATGCAAGGATAATGTTAAGTGCTTCAGTTAAATTGTTCATTAGTTTGATGAGGATTTGGTAAAGCCACAGGTAGAAACTTCTATCAGGGATTGGTTTAATTTATCAAGTGGATTACTAGTACCTGATTTCAGGGGATTTTGTATTGATCCAGTCATGTTCATGTACTAAGCAATATGGAAGATCAGGGGGAGGGTGGGGGGGGGGCTATTAGGCCACATGTTTGCTTCTTCCCTTTCTATGCATATCAAAGTGAAATTGGCTTTGTCAGCTATGCCTGTAGTGCATGTAATAATGGATGCTGAAGAAAGTGAGACAAATTTTAACCAACCCCCTCCCCTTTTGTGTAATCCCAAATCTGCCAGTGGGAAATTAAATGATCTACAATATTCTCCCTCTTATCCCATCCTTCAGGGTATTGGTGATTGTTTTTTACTCAGGTGTGCTCTCTGATATTGTTTTATGGTAATGACACATTATTATGTGCAACTCATGTAAGCACAAACTTGCACATGTATGTGATTGTCAGTGATTTCCTTGCAATCATTAACTGTTATAACTATTATGATTACTAGTACTAGTCAATATATTCAGCATGGTTTTCAGTTTTACATGGTACTAGTCTGGTGAATCCAAAGATAAGTGGTTTATAAAGTCTTATTGTTATTTATATATATACACTGGGATACATTGATCAATACATGTAATATATCTATATCCCTCTTAATTATTATCCCTGATATCAATTTTAGTGGAAAAAGACTGCTGAGTTTCAACAGGTGCTCTCCACACAAGCTACAGAATATTGTAAACAGAACACAGCACAGTGTGGCCTTCAACAGCATATGTGAGTATGATCGAGTAAGATGAGGAAAATTTTCCTCTGAAATTTAGGGATGGAATCCACGTATATTCACATACTGGGAAACTGTGTCTGTGTTGTCCAAACTAAATATTAGTGTGCAATTAAAGTGACATCTAGAAGCAAAAGTGTGATTTGATTTAAAAAAAATCTCTGTCCCCCTCCCATTTCATCCCCTACATATGTCCTAGCCCCTCCCCCCCTCATCCCTACCTCCAACCACCATATATGTCAGGATGACATTATTTTTGACCATTAGGTATTAAACTTTTCATATCCTAGAAGTAGCCATGTACTGTTGATCAAATTTTCATTTCTTTCTCATTGTAGAATTAACTTTTGCTATATTGAAAAAAATATTATTGTCAGTTTGTTTGTTTTGATTATAGGGGAGTGTACCCCTAATAGTAATTACTACAGTGAATCATCTAATATAAGTTCTACATTATTCAACTACTAGTACACATATGTAATGAGGCAATTAAATTATTGATTGATTAATCATACTCGCACTGCTGTTGTATATTAAATACGTACACTTGTAACCTGTCATATTTTTGGATGAAAGAAGAGTTAGACAAGTTATGTTGAAAAAGGAGGGCAATATGCAGTGAAGGGGGAGGGGGTCATGATCTCCCCTTCCCCACCCCCACCCCCAGGGCCATTTCTGTTTGTGAAATTAAATAAAATAAATCTTGGCATTTTTGTATTAGACAGGGAATTGGTCTACCACAATAGATAGACAATGACATGTTCCAATCCCTAGGTACTGTTATCATGTATTTTGTTTTTAGGCTGCTACAGGAAAGATGTAGTATTTACATGTACTTGTATTAATAATGCAGTTATTTTGGTATTCCAATTCAACTTTCTATAGTCCCAAATGTATTCTCTGGCTATTGGATATAAGTTTCACCCTCATTATTTTAAGAAATTTGTGATTGAAAAGTCAAATAATTTAGATGGATGTTTTAAAATTGATGTTTTTTATTTATTCTTTCTCAATATCCTTCTAATTAGAGCTGTACGGTTGACTTATGTAGGTAACCCAGGGAAATACATATAAATATTGACAGTCTCTCCGCAGTTGTTTTCAAGATTCAAGTTTAAATTAAATACTGATTAAATACAATGATTGATTTTTATGTATGATCTACTTGCCTTTTTTATACATCAGTAGATGTATTTGTGTTGTTGTCTAGAGCAGAAGCGAGAGAGAGAGAGAGAGAGAGAGAACTGGAAATTATGAAACTTGATATTTTTAATCTTCCCAATATTTTATTCATGATTAATACAGTGTTATGTAATATATAATTACATAGTCTTTGCCAGCTACTTAATGTTCCTAAATGCCCCACAGTACATACATGTACAAACAGTATGCGTTTTAAGTAATTAAATTGCCAGCTACATCATACTTTGCCAAATAATTTTGGTTTATTTCACCAGGGGCACCTTTCTATTAAATGAAATCAATTTATGTACCAGTAACCATACTAGTGGTATATGTGTATATTGTTACACTAGCTTGATTGATCAAGTGAAAGTGGTTTTAAACATTTTTTTTTTGCTGACAGTGTATGATTTTAAGATTTTTTTCAGTGATGAATTTAAAATGACAGTTTTTGTTAATTTATTTCCTTTTTTTCTTTTGGTTGACAAACCCACTACACAGTATTTTGCATAGTAATTTAACTGATACGAGGTAACGGAGTCCGAGTCACACGTTCTTAAGCTAATAATGTGAAGAAGTAGAGACCTTTAAACTTGCTCTTCGATTTAAAAGGGTTTATTGTAAGTCATAATAATCATTAGGTAAGAATAGTTTGCTTTTTCATTGTTTGGATTCCCCTTTCTGTTTCTTTGATCAGCTGGAAATTGAAAAACATGCTCTTTGAATGGGAATAATGTTGAATGGAGTTTTGAATGAATTTGTTAAATAAAGACAGGTAGAGTATAGATCTGTCTATATCATATTATCAAAATACTATGCTCTTTTAACATATTGTCATATTTTTATTAGCCTTTTTTGCTTTTGTTACAGAGGTCAAATAGAACATACAGTATCAGGGAAAATGTTTAAAAGAAAATCAATGGCTGTTATACTTCATTGGTCATATTAAGAAGCTTAATGGGTTCTAAGCAGCTAGGGAGGGGCTGTTATCCATACATTAGCAACCAGGGAGGGGCTCTTATCCATACCGTCCTAGCAACGGGGGAGGGTCTCTTTCTCTTGTCTGGCCTTCATTGTCTTTCACTGTTTTATTATTTTCATTAAATGAATTCAACAAAATCTGACCACTGATTATTTCGTGAAACTGCCAGTAAAGATGTCATTTTGAATTGATGATAAAATGTTATTGTTTGTAAGTTTGAATTGAAAAGTGAGTGGGACAGAGGCCCAGTATTATTGTTGATTTGCTGTGAAAGTCAAGTGTTACACCTGAAACAAAACCTATTACTCAAATTAAGTCTTCACGTGCCATTTTGCCTAGTCCCAGTGAATCTCATGCAACCTGGCATCCTGTGAGATTACGACCTTTAAGACAATTTCTTAATTAGTTTTTATGTTCTCTAGCTTTATAAGACTTATTGCAGTCATTCCCCACAAACTTTAAACACCATTTTTCTCCAAGATTAATTTTTTTCAGATTTTAGACATTTATGTTTTTAGTTACACACAAAAAGCTAAACCTGTGTTCGATCCAAATGAGCTGTTTTATCCAAAATAAATAAATAATTAATTAGAATTTTAAAAATCATTAACAAAATATTACTTAGGACAAATAATTACTCAAAATAACTCATATTTTGCAAGCAGTTACAGTAGTCTACAACTCTTAAATGGAATAGCTACATACAGTGTGTGGCAACGGGGTGTTTGATCATGATATTACATCCGGCTGATTACATAGAAACCCAGCTGACAAATGACAACAGCAGATTTGAATGCTGTAGATTTTCACACCAGTCTGCTTACTGAGATACAACTACCCCATACTTCTGCTACTATTTTAAAGCTTGGCTTGAATATTGTATTTGATCATCGTTGGATTAATAGAATGCTAGTGTATTTAGTAACAGTACTAGTGTTTTATAATTTATAGGCCTTGTTCAAACAAATAAAAGATAGATATGAATGTTAGAAGTTTTTGATGAATTGTCAAGATTGTTATATGCTGAACAAAATGTAAAGTGAGACAAGTGTACAAGTTGTAGGATTTCATGCTTTGTAAATTTATTAAGTACCATTAAAAGTTGATCTATTTTATTGACCCGTGCGGAGTAAAAGCTTCACTTTTTATATAATAATAAAACTGATAATTTCTTCAGCTTTTGATGTTAGCATTGTTGGCTGTCAGTGCTTTTTTAATTATAATGGTACTCTAACTTTCTACATGACAGAAATGTAAATGTACAAAAAATAAATGGATAATTCAAGTTCGTACAATATAAATGACGCTAATCACTCTTGTTAGAAACCAGTTATCTTTTTGAAAAAAAAGAAGCAAAATTTATCAAGTTCTTTTTGTCATTTCAGCAAGTTCCTACCTGACAATGTGAACATATCGGGTGGATATCCCAAAGATGACAAGTCCAACCTGATCCTACAGTTTTGTATCCTGTACCCAGCAGGGGCACCCGTCTTCAACGGTTCGACCACAAAAATGGTGCTTCCAAAAGCGGTTACTTATGGTGAGTTATGATTCTTACTGACAAAAAATTCTTATAGGGAAGGAATTCTTTATAATGCGTATAATAGCCATACTGCTTACTGTTGTTGTTTCTTATAGATAACTAATATGAACATGTTTTTGTTTGATGGCTACTGAAATACCAATTTGGAAAGATCATTATTTGTTTCTAACACATGCAAGCCAAACATTATGACATCTTACATGTAACATATGTAGCTTATGACCAACCATAGGCTTTCACAATGCTTTGTTTGTGTATAAATAATTTATCTGCCTCAGGCAATATGTGTAGCTGATGAATATTTTTACTGAATTTATTGTTCATTCAATGACATTCAGTCATTTGTTTGTTTGTTCGTTTGTTCATTTTCATCCATACAATCTGTCGTTCATCTTACTATGCACAATTATGTATGACTTGTTCATTCATTCAATCTCAAACTCTTTTAAAATATCAATGAGGGGGAGACGGGTTGTGGGGGAGGGAGGGATGGAGGTGGTACCCTCTCTCAATGCTTTTAAAAATGAATATTGATATAAACCATCATCGAATTATTCTGTTTCTTAGGCCACCCAGAGTAGAACAGTAGCTATAGACTAATGAGTCTGCAGGTCAAATATGGCAACCCACTCAAAAAGCTTGTTGTCTAACACCCCATTTCCATAGATTTTTAGATTGATCTATCCCTGTGGGGAGTCTCACTAGATTACTGTCAGCTTGGCCGGCTTAAGCGTCTGTCCCGCCTACTAAAAGCTGTAAGGGGGTAATTAACTATGGTGCCCGCTCGGCTGACTGCAATTAAGCGTGAACGCCCAGGGAGTTAGGTCGATCTAAATCTTAATCTCTAGATCGATCTAAATCTCTGGGAAATAGACACTGAATAGATTCCCTGTGGGGAAGTATCCAAGTGGGTCAGCCATATTTGACCCTCGGGACTAGTAAGTCCACTGTTCTGAATGTGGCTTTATACATACATCTTCTATTTCAGCTGTGGCTGGGAGCACAGAAACTAGGGAAAGTCTTCACAGCAAAACTACTTATTCCTTAATTGAAATATCGTATGGGAGCGAGGTGAAGAAATACCAGCCATACCCTAATACTCAGATGAACTTGATCATGTCCATAGTAGGATTCCTGGTGTTAATTATCGTGATTGCCACTGCTGTGGGCTGTCACTTGTACAGGTATTTATTTATTTATTTATTTATTTATTTATTCTGACATTTCTACTTATTTTACCAGTGCTCTGTTGTTCTTATGCTAGGGTATTTTTTTCTTATAATTATGATGTCTTTTCTTTTTTGAACAAGTTTTACAAGTTCCCTTCATAGCAACTAAGCCCCAAAAGAAAAATAACAAGAGATGTGTTAATTGGCTTCCTCATCCCCCCCTCCCCCCCCCCAAAAAAAAGAAGAAAAAAAATCCTTTCTATTATAGGCTATAGATAACTTGGCCCAAGTGCCTCGTGACAAATTAAAGTTCCTTTTATTATTAAGGTGGAGCAACAGTAGCATGATAAAACAACTTAAGATAATCTAATTTAATAATGGATGTTATTCCCATTGTTTTCTCATGAGTCAGCATTATGTTTGAAGATATGTTATATCCATATGTGGTACTTAGTTGCATGTACATAAGTTGTGCCTCTAGCCAGCAAGTTCAAAGATAAGAAGGGGGGAGGGGTTACATTATTGAAAAAAGTGGAGTAACATATTTACTGTGAAACCTACACTTTTATTTTTAATGACAAGACATATTTAGTGAACCTTCCCCCCCACCCCAGACTGAAAATGGTATGTACAACCCCCCCCCTCCTACCCCCACCCACCTGCCTTCTTGTTCGTTGCCATATTGGGATTTATCTAGAATTCATTATTTGTTCATGAGGTCAAGGCATTACAGTTCAACCTTTTCTCTATTTCTGCACCAAAGCAACCCATGGTCATCGTTTCTGTCCTGCAAGACAAAATTGCGCCCACTGATAAGAATTACCCATAGAACTAGACACACAATATCCTCATGTGCTATATTAACTTTTGAAGTAATCAAAGAGATGAGGGCATCGGGCATGTACTTGCAGTCCTCTGAGACACATCATGGACAAATTTGAACCACAAGAGAGGAAAAGTCAGAGTTTTGCAATTGAATGTTGGTGTGATTAGTTTGATTTAGATTGATAGATTTTTGTTACCCTGGTTTTCAGGGGCTATATTATTTTGAAAGTTAAAATTCTTTATGTGCAGTTCAACATTAAGTGGTTAAAATGTGTTGGATTCTGTTTAGAATATAATAATTGCTTTTAAAATATGCATTTCCTATGGTATACAACAGTTACATACATGTACATCTATATTTGTATAAAGGTTGAATGGACCTTTTTAAAATAAACTGAGTGCCCAGCACATAACAAGACAAAAATTCTATGACTAGCTTTAGGCTCTATTGGCTATTTTCTCCTAGCATGCATTTTTTTTCTGTCGATATGAATGATTTATCATTAAGATTGAGAAGATGAGAGAATTGCTTGTCTACATCCAGTCATGCCACTCAGACATTTATTATCAGTGGGATTGCAGTTTTTTCTTCTATTTTGGTCACTCTTGAGTGTTTCTCATTGGCTGCCCTTAGTGACATGGGGACGCACCTTTGCTGCCGTTGCACTTTACAGATCTGTATATTCATTTATATTAGATATGTTGCCCACGCCCAAACCTGTCTAGGTAGAAGAAGTCGGTTAAGTCACCAGAAAGAAAACTTATATAATTAGACTGTGAATGTTCTTCTGCACCATTGGAAAACGCGAGAGAAAAGCTTGGCACTTTAGGTACCAGAGTGCTATCTCTAAGGTCAGAACAAATTGGTGTGACATGTCAGAAACAAGCTCTGCACCAAAAGGTATCATTATTTGTTTGATTATTTAATTAATCAGTATGTCACTGACTCGGGTAGTTAACCTTGCTGCACTAAATATTCTATTCCAATGTGAGTCCATAGTTGTACAGCTTTACTAACAAAACATTGTTCTTTTCTTGTTGGTCATGATGTTAAAAGCCGCCGCAGTTCCAGGGTTCATGCAGTTCAGTCCAGGAGTGCGGTTGCTAATGTTAAACCACTGTTAGTTGATTGAGTAAAATGTGTTTTGTCATTGTGGTAGTTGTGACAGTGTTCACAGTGTGATAGATGTGACTGTGCACCTCAACACAATTGTAAGTTCTTCGCGGTGATTTTACCAATAATTTTTTTATTGACATACACAGAATTCATCACTGGAGAAAAACAATGCTTGTTCTTCATTTTTTTAAAAATTTTATTAAGCAGCAAAAGGCAACAAAGCTTAGAATGCATGTTCTTTTGATTTTGTTTAGAAAAACTTCTTGTATATTGCATTTGATAGTTATGGTAGTTATATGTATATGATCTTCCATGTTCAGAAAAGCTAATATTAAAAATCATCATCAGATAGAAGTGAATTTAGAGTTCTAAAGGGTGAATTTAGTCTATGCCATTGGGAGCAATTAAGACTGACATTTCATGAGGAAAATACAATATTAAAATTTAATAGCAGTAATAGTAATAAAAACAATGGGTAGTTTTCAAGGAAATGCATGCTAATTGTATTTTTTTATTGTTAAAAATGCTTGTATGATACCCATCATTTACTGTGGGATTGTGTTGGTTTGTTGCATGAATAATAGGTGGACTGTTGCGTTTCACTTGCAAAAAGCATGAGGTGATTTTCTTGAAGAGGAGGCACACCATGGGTTCTGTTTTGTCAGTCACACCCTTCTTATTTCCCCAAACTGTCTGTCCATATATACATATAATACTCTAAATCTGTTGCCTCTGTATGAAGAAATAAGAATATAGCTAATGCTGCTTGTATAAGATATGATTAATTAATAATGATATATGGCAAAGCTTTATTGATATTATAATTATAGATACAACTCCCTGAACTAAGTTATTATAGAATGAGAAAATGCTATAGAAAGACTTCATTTGTCAAATGACACTTCACCAATTAACAATGAGTGCATTTTGGCACTAAAAAGTGTCATCAATTGAAATAAATAATATCATTGCCACCATTTCCAGGAAAAACCAAAAAAGAAAGGAGCGCATAGCCAAGCTATCAAAGAACCTGAAGAACAAGCAGTACTCCAACCAGACGTATGAAAATAAAGTCAGCCCGCTGGATGACATGGAGATGGGGAACATCCCTTGGGAGCACAACAGGTCAAGGGATAACTTAAGGGATGGGTGAGTGGTTTTATTTATTTATTTATTTATTTATTTATTTATAACTTTTAGTTAAGGTAAAAATAAATGAATAAAGGAATAGGAGAGTATTTAGAAAATAATTTAAAAAATAATTTTATTGGAGTGGTTTTATTCTATTATTTATTTATTTATTTATTTATTTATTTATTTATTTATTTATTTATTTATTAACTTTAAGTTAAGGTAAAATACATGAATAGAAGAATTATAAGAAAAAATTAATAATTATATTTATTATTTGTTTATTTTCTTATAATTCTGATGTGAGTTTTATTTGCAATTAAAATAAGAAGAGAGATGATTTTTAATATTGCTGTCAGAGGTTAGTGATAGAATAATTTTGATTGTAGAATATTTCACAAACAGTGCAATGCTGATTTGTTGATGTGAAGTTAAAATAAGAATTATCAATAGATAAGATATAATAGTAAATAGATCTTTAAAAATTGCCTTTTTACAATCAGATTGTTCGTGAATAGATATGTAATATCTGCTAGGTAATATCCTACATATTACCAGTTTATCATTGTTCCAAAATCCTCTATTTTTGTTATCACATTTATGTACTTTTATCTCAAATAGCTGGTGTTACAAATTCCAGAAGTCGACTACACCTCTCCAGTCCCCTACATTTTATATTTGAGATAATACCCTGTCACCCATATATATATATATATATATATATATGCCAAAACGCCTCGACCGTTAACAAGACGGCTGTTCAAAGCAAGTATCGCCAAAGAGTGGCAGTGTATTGTTTGACATACATACATACATGCCGAGAGAAAGTACTCGCGTTGAACCGAAAAACACCCCTGAAACAAAATAAAATTAATCGCCACGGTCACACAACATCTCTAGATATGTATATTTTCCTTTGTATTACAGTGACGGCAAAGTGAAAAAGACCAAGAAATCAAGGTCCACGAAAGCGGATGAGGGAAAACCCAACAACGCCCTCCCTCCTCTAGAGACGGAACTAACAGAGAAGAAGAAAAAGAAAAAGAAGAAAAAGGGAGAGAAGGAGAGAAGAAAGGAAAAAGACAAGTTGGTAAAAGAAGGCAAAAAAGCACACAGGAGTAAGCAGGCCGAGGGCCGTGACAACGACACGTTTGATTACAACGAGACGTTGAACTCCACGGGCACTTTCCCCGACCTGAACAAAACGACGGAGAGCGGGAACTCTTTCGACTTGAACGCGACCACAAAAAATGGCCATCCTGAATTTAACAGTACTGCAGAAATCTCTGCCTCCGCTGACGCGACTTTAAGCGCAGGTTATGAAAGTGCTGGCGCAGTGCATGGCGCAGTGCATGGCGCAGTGTATGGCGACTCTACAGAGCAGCCTGAGAAACCAAGTAGTGTGACGTCCGAGAAATGTGAATTTAGCGGAACTGGGACCACGACAACGTACATGTCGGATGACGAGAGGGTCAAATCCAGTGCGGAGAATATCACCAAAGGCGCACCAGAGACTCAAACTACAGAACTGTGATAAGACGTGTGAGCTAATATGGAGAGAAACAAACTGAGTGTCCTCTTAACAGATAATCCGCCCTCCACTGGATTCGTACAGGTCAGGGTTGGCGTGATGTAAGTGGGTCAAAATATCAGCCCAAGTCATTGGACCCTGGAAACTCTCGTGAACATGACAGCATGCCTTCTTGGTTAATGCAACTTTTCACTTAAAGGGATAATAACTCTTCGTATGAAATCTATATTTCACAATAAAAACATTGTGAAAAACTCATAGAAATATAATATATTCTGTTTTACCACAAAAACGGCAGTTATAGCTATTATTCTGATACCTGAGCTGGTCTTCAGACCACGTGACCTCCATTGATGGCTATACTCTGTTAAAATCTCTTAAGAGATTTTAAGTAAAAAACAAACTTTTTAGAAAAAAACCAGGGTCTAACTTTGAATGTAAAAATGGATTCATTAACCATTGGTAAGTATGGGAAAATTGTTGTTTACTCCAGGAAAATTCATTTTTGGGCCAAAGCGAAGAGTTATTTTCCCTTTAACTACAGCAGTTGTGTGCTGAGGCCAACTGACAAATAAGGTGCCCTTTTTTTTCAGAATTGCTTCAGTGACGTTTAAGATACTTTGACAGTGAAGCCCCACAAACAGCGCATTAAGTATTCCACCATTATTAATATTATTAATTTTTTTTTGAAAAAAACTTAATTTGTAAGTCTGTGGGTTTTACTACATGACGAGATTGTCCTTTTGTTTATACTTGTTAAAAGATCAGACTGATTTTTTAAGTGCAAATTTAGCCTGTTGATTTTTTCCTAGAATTATTACAGTAACCTCACCCTTCAGGAAGTGGACACTTTCATGACCTCGACGAAAAACCGAAATTTAATTTTTTTCGCATTTTTTTTTTGCGGCATTTCTTGAAGGGCGACTCAATCCTTGTTAATGTAAATGGACAGTTCTATGTAATTGTCGTTGTGAGTTGGTGGAAGCACATTAAGTCCAAATGCCAGGCGCATCTTTATTTGATTTTAGACAACTGAAAACTCTGCGCAGTTCGCATCCAAATCAAACACACTTATTTAAGTTCAAAACTTTTATATTTGGCTAAAACAATCCATCTACCTGCACTTGGCAAAATTTTAAAAATTAAAAATTTGAATTTGATAAATTAAAACATTTATCCCAGAGTGAGGTCAAAAATGGATAACAGTCTTAATAAATCTATATTTTGATAAAAAAGAAAGAAATTAAAAAAAAAAAAAAATTCGCTCTCGCTGCCTTTTAGTGTCACATTATGTAATATTGTATATATCTTGTAGTATTTTGTAGCATATACCTTCCCTACGCGTAGGGCATACAAGTGCAATTAGTTTTAGCTTTTTGATTCCATTGATTTATTTACAAAATGCTTTTTAAAATAATTTTTGACATATAATCTACAATGATCTACACAATATAATTTAATCCCACCAGGTGCAGAGGCAGATCGCTGGATTTGAGGGTGGTTTCGAACTCCTTTTTATGTACAGACACTTTTTTCTCTAATACTGCAGTCTATGAGATTCGTTATTTTAATCACTTCATGACAATACTTTACCTCACATTTGGCAGACACATACACTTAATAGTAGCCATATTTTCCAAGATTGTGGAAGAAAACAATGGACCTCAGATTGACCATGTTCTTAGTTAATACGGCAAACAGGTACTCTACTTAAATATATCAGAACTTTTTGGACACAGTTTGCTTTTATTACTATTTTAAACTTTCTAATTGACTTTTGTCTCATAATTGATGCACAAACAAATTGAACGATTCATTTATTGCTTTTATGGGATAAAGAAAAGAAATGTATCGTGTATTATGTTCTTTCTGACAAGACGGGGGAAAAAGTTTACAGGTTTATAATTAACCGAAAATAAGATTTAGTATTTTTTAGTTCATTTGATAATATGTTGGATTAAATATATGCAACATCTCGTTAGATCACGCGTGACACACCGTAAATCTCGCTGGACGTGACGGGAGTTGTAGATATTGGAGATTTCGGTTTCGGAAACACGAGTACCACTAGTTAAAGGGCGTTATTAGTTATGTAGATTTGTATGGCTATGCTTTTATCTTAATTTACATGTATGTTGAAATTGTGCCATTTTTTTGTTTTGTCTATATGTCCGTTGCCATGTCAGTCACATTGAGAGAATCGAGAGCACTCTCATGTAACTAAAGCAAGCAGCATATAATGAATATTTATTTAAAATAAATTATCCTATGGGTATGGCGCTTTTATATAGACGTGTAATATACTTTTTTCTATGTACACAAGTACTTTTTATACTGATTAAGATGTTCCTTTATTTAATTTATGTTGAAGCTTTTTTTGCCTTACCAAAAACGTTTGTAAATACGTAATTTTATAAATATTTTATATAACTATATTGTCCGATTTGCATCATTCATTAGAATAATAAATGCTTTTTTAACACAGATTATTAACCTATTGTGGTTTTTATGGTGTTTGAATAGCAATGTTCAAAATCGTGGAACTAAGGCAATTAAGTTAAGAGGCAGTGATAAAATCAAGCCTTAAATTGAAAAAATCCGAGATAGCCTAAAGCGAGGCTGTGGGTACTGAGTGATATCATACGAGATTAGAAAACGTAAAAAAAAAAAAAAAAAAAAAAAAAAAAAAAAAAAAAAAAAAAAAAAAATCGGCTTGAATTGGGGTTAACTTTTGAACGATAAAGGCGAAACTGCGTTGGGATGCCTCTTTAGAAAGCAATGCAAAAGTGATACCCCAAAGTAATACCGAAACTCTCTCTCTCTCTAACCGTTAACTTTCTTATCGCAAGTCGGTCAGATCTATGAAAGCACCCGCAGATTCTCATTCTCTTTAATCATTTATTAATTAGTTAACTCAATAATTTACTCAATCCAAATTGCTGATTTTTTCATATTTCCTATGCTAGAATTCCTTGAGACTTGAAGAATGTCATTTAAGGGACATCATTTACTGTAGTAAAACGAAAACTGTTGCAATTAGTTTCCAGATTAGTTTCTAGTTTTTTTGACGGACTTTCGAATGCAACTCCACACATCAATACCGCAAATCTGGCATCATGCCCGGATTACTCATTCAGACTATAGTACTGTGCACTACTCTAATAATTTATCCCACTTTCCTTATTTGAAAATAGTGAACAGCCATTGCTGAAGTCTGGCATAGGCCCTATCAATATTTAAGTTTCTATTTCTCGAAATTTCTTCCCATATTTCTTTGGTACGGGTGTACAGCAAACAAAAGCAGTGGAAATATCAATTTTGAGACATCTTTAACTGGACAAGAAAGTAGAAAAGAAAGGGAGAAAGATAATTGCAACCGTAAAAATCATTTCGAGCTATTTATCTTTTCTTTAATTCTTTTCCTTTTTTATTCAATTTTTTCCTTTCTGAAACTGACTCGAAACGCAGAAGTACGTTTACTTGGCCTGTTAACAGTCTTCAGTCAAGTAAGAGAGAGACCTTATACAAAGCCACTTTAAGAGCGCCTTCAGAACAGATGATATGCAGAGTAATAACAGATCCGCGGACTAAATATTGCCCACTCACCTAAAAGCAGCGCCGACTAATTCCCTGATGGTCTTCCCGCCTCCACACGCGCCATTAAAAGGATTTTGTCTCGACTCCAAGGTTTATGAGCAAGGCCCTTGCAGCGATGGAGCGTGTGGAGGCGGCGAGACCATCAGGGGCATCGCTTTTTAAGCGGGGTCGGCCATATTTAGTCGGCGGATCAGTTAGTCCGCGGATTATCTATTCTGAATGCGCTCTAACAATGTTCAGTCAGGTCAGGGAGAGACCTTAAATTCACTTCAAGTTCACTTTGGCTCCTTCGCGTGAACAAAACTTATGTTTCGCCTGGCTGCAGATTAAGGAAGCTTAACCAGTTTTATGCCGCCCAGCTCTCGCTTTAACACATGTTTTCTTTTCACCTATATGGGTCCAAACAATGAGAAATATTTCCCTTTGTCCTTAAGACCTTTCTCTCTCTCTCTCTCTCTTCAATATTACAGGATGTGGATGTCACGGATTCAGGTTGCCTCCGGTACGTCCCCCGACGGGGTTAAAGCCCTTTATCTTTCAAGGGATAATAACTCTTAGTATAAGATCCTTATTTTGCAATAAATACATTGTAAACAACTCATAGAAATATCATAAATTCTATTTTATTTCCAAACGGCAATTATTCTGAAATCTGTGCTTGTCATCGGACCATATCACGTGCCTGCATAGCCAGCTACATTCTGTAATAATCTCGTAAGAGGTTACGATAAAAACTTTTTAGAAAAAAAAGACCAACTTTGAATGTCGGAACGGATTCGTTTATCATTAGTAAGTAAAGAATGGTCGTTTACCCGAAGAAAATCCGTTAATTATTCGGCCAAAATGAACAGTTGTTATTCTTTTAATCATAACAATCTTCAATCTGATTACATTTGTCCCGAACCACTGCATTTTTATTTGAATAATTTAAGCGTTAGCTCTGACATATATATATATATATTTCGTACACTTCAGTTGCAACATGCTTTATTACTTGAAAATATACTGGTACTGGTATATGTCAATTTCTACAATCACATGTGATTGACCTGCGTTGTTTAAGTATACGCAAATCCCGCATCACGCCCTCTGTGATAACGTGCGTTAACAGACCTCAATGTGGCACAGCTACAGAGGAGAGACGGTGCATGAAGAAATGGAGAGCAGGCGGCTGATCGTCCAACTGTCGGTTTTCGGGGTTTTGCTTGTACTGGCAGCGAAAGGGATTGCAGGTTAGACAGAGGGCGAGGCTGAGAGAGAGAGAGAGAGAGAGAGAGAGAGAGAGAGAGAGAGAGAGAGAGCGTCTGTGTGTCTGTATGCGTGTGTGTACAGTGCGTGTGTTAGTGTGTGTGATAGAATAAAAGAGAGAGAGAGTATGGGCATGTGTGTACTGTATGTGTGTATGAGAGATAGTGTCTGTGTTTTAGTGTGTGTGTGTTTTTGCATGGGAGAGAGAGAACGTGTGTGTCACTTAGTGTGTTTGTATGTGCAAGAGAGGTGTCAGTGCGTGTGTGTGCGTGTGTGTGTGTGTGTGTGTGTGTGTGTGTGTGTGTGTGTGTGTGTGTGGGCGGAGAGAGAGAGACTAAACAGTAATAAGTTATTGCACATTTAAAATTGTTTAAAAATCAATAGTCATAAACGAATTAAATCACCCATCACGCTCATAGTGACAAGACTGGTTTTTATTAGTTAGGGGCGTCTGAATTTTTTGCCATTAAATGTAGGCAACGTACATGTAGACTTGGGACACGAAAGGAAAAGTTAAGATACTGTACATTTTAATGTAGTCGTATTCGGTCAGTCGGGTCAAGTCGCAGTTGAAAACGTCACATTTAATCAAAACACACAGAATACCTCCTCAAATTCATAAGTGAAGCGTGCTGTATTTCGAAGGAGTAGTCTACCCCACCCCCACCTCCACCCACCCCAAAACACCCCCCACCCCTCGCCGCCATGCATTTCAAATATGTTCTCATAAATTTAACCCATCTAAGTCTGGAATTGTGCATTGAAGGTGGGTATTTCGGGGCCCATTCCCAATAAAATTGTCATTCTACGTACATCGATCCAACTCCGCAGGGATGCAATCAGATTAACGTTGGCGTTGGGCAGAATACAAAGAAACCGGTGATGATACGAGTTTAATGGAAACGAATGGAGGTGTTATTCTATTAATCTAATTACATTCAGCAAGAGTCCCCTGCAGAGGCGGATCGATCTTCGCAGAACGAGAGTTTCACTGGGAATAAGCCTTTACTTTAAAACCGTTAACTTAAGATAGTTCGCCGGATGAACCCTAGATCACGTACTTGATATCATCTTGTTAGCGCAGCAGACGACTCCCGCGCTCTCCATTGTTTGTTCAGCGTATCTGACACGGACACGGTTTATTTTTATTTCGCATCCACCGTTGGAAATCCTTTTTTTTCTCATGCCACTCAGTAGCGGTAGTCAACAATGGGTGACTTGGGATGTATTTATATATTTTTGTACCCGGATTCTAAAATAAGCTCGCAGATGCTGCTGTTAACATCTGCATCTGAGTAAAATAAGCTGTATATTTGCGGATTAAAAGATGGTGAAATGTTTAAGACAGAAAAATGTGGGCGGCACCTCTTAATCTTAACGGGTGCAATTTCACCGCATATTAAGTATTTAAGCAATCCAAAAATGCAAAATGAACATAAAAAGGGCGCAGGTCATACATTATGTTACTCTAATTAACTGCGCGCACATTTAAAGTTCGATAGTACCCGCCTGTGGGTTTTGCAAAATAATAATAATAATAATAATAATAATAATAATAATAATAATAATAATAATAATGAATTAATAAATAAATAAAGAAGAAAAGATGATCGAATGAGTGTGGACAGCTTCTTGGTCAGCATACACTGATGTAAGCTTTTGTATGATGAAAAAATGTCAAATTATTCAAAATATGCCTATGTTACATTTGACAATGACAATTATCAATCTATGAACGTATATTTCCACCGACCTAACCCGAGGTCACATACGTGCCATAGCTTGTAGCCACCTACAATGCCCCCCCCCCCCCTCAAAAAAAAAAAAAAAAAATCGTACGCGATCTACGCTACTGCACAGGGCAAATGTGTCCTAGACTCTAAGCGTGCCTTGTACGGAGAGCTCCCATTAAAAAACTGTATTCGCTCAGGTAACTTAATTGCAAACCAGTATGTTTAACCGTCAACCTCACACCTGTCAACTTTATCAATTCAGTGCCCTCTGAACCTGTCTTCCCCTTCAGGTTGTAGTAAGTTGTTTTTCTTGCGTGTGTCATCGTGTAAGATTTTATAAGCATGGAACTACAAGACGATCGGCGTAAGGCGTTAACTAAGGACGCACCCTGCACCGTTTTGCCTAAAAATGTTTTAAAGCCTAACTCCCGATACCCGGAAGAAGATGATGTTTGGGTGCATTCAAATGCTTGGACCTTGTTGTTCAACAATCAAACTGACCACTCTTCTTTCACTCTCCCACCTGGACACAGAGAAAATTGGCACACTTGTGTAGGCCCTATATGTGTCTGGGGGGGGGGAGGGGGGGGAGTGCTCTTCATTAAGTTTGCCTTAGACTGTTCCTGAAGCGGTCGTGCTGGTTTCTATTTTAGCATTAACCGGAAAAGGAGGAGAGAGAGGGAGGGGTCAACCCGAGTTTCGGAGGTCACTGGAGACTCGCCTCTAATTTCAGTATGCTGTAGCCGTTATAGCAAATGGCAAATTCATGCAGATAACAGTTTAGTTGCCAACAAAATATCGGAGGGGAGGAGAAGGGGGTTGGAACCTGTTAGTTAGGATCTCTATCAAAGCCAGACATATTAAAGTGTTTAGTCAAATGTACTTTATTTGGGTGCAGATTTCAGTGAGTGTGAGAGGTTGACAATGACAGTTACACTGGTTGGAGAACGAGTCTGTGGTCACGCTCACACACCTACAACATTTCAAAGTTGCAGCTTTGATTTCCAACATCAGATTCAAAAGTGCGTTAGCGAACTTTAAAAAAAATGTAAGCTCAATTTAACCTCCTTCAAATTTGCAGCTTTGACAATATTTTATGGTCAACATCAGACTCAAACACCATTGTTAGCGAACTCAAAATATTGCAGCCTTTTCATATTCGTGGGAGAGGGCCAAACTTCGTTTTCGAAGCGGTCGGAAGCTAGGTGTAACATGGGCTTTAGACTAAAAATAATAATAATAAATAAAAAAAAAAAACGACACGTCTCTTCTCTTTAGTTTGTGTTGTTACCCATACCCAGTTCTTCGGGAATTCCGCCTCAGACAGTGCTATCTATTAATCCTACGTTGGAGACATCTTACTTTACCATCGAAGATGCAGCCACAGCCTTTAACAAATATTTTCAGTGTTCAGATTGCGTCCTGTCGCTAATATTTGTCATCGATAACCCAGAAACGCTAGTCACAAGGCGGTAAATCTCTCCCCCGATCAATTCTCAAGTCATTTATTACTAATAAAAATGGATCTCACACGCAGTTAAGACCCATTTTTTATTTTTATTTTATTGTGTTATTATACATACATTGAAATGTGGCAATAGTGTAAGAACACCTATGAAATTGTGTGAGGATTACAGCTTCCCCGACCCACAGTTGATATATGACGGCCTGGCTTCATTATTCATACAACACACTTCCAGGGTGAAAAATAAGTTCAAGCACTGAAGTATCATACTTGCCTTCGGCTGAAAAGTTCTGTAGAGAACGCGTTATTATAGTTTATAAGAAAAAACGTTAAAATATGCAACGCATTCACGGGTTATTGTCCAGGAATAAAAAGAAGATACGCTTTCTGGTTTTTTTGCCTCGAGGTCTCAGACATCATGATTCCAGGTTATGCATGTCATTTCAAAATATACAACGTTTACCTTTTCATATTTTCAGTTAAATGTTTTGGTGGAAAGAGGGACCTGTTGTGGCATACACGTATCTTATACTTTTTTATGAGTTAATTGATCAATCAAATAATAAATCTATTAATATGCCTGTTCATTATAAGAACTGAATTCAAATAGATGATGAAAAATTCTCTTTGACATCTGATGTCAAAATCTGTGTAGTAGTTTATTTTAAACAATTATATCAATCTCAGATTTCTCCCGTGTTTTCTGTAAAGTTTTAGCATTAGCTAAATATTTCACATCCCAATAGAAAAGACCCCAAATGAATAAGAACATTAAAAGGACTGATTTAAATCATTACAACAGCCTTAAAGCGCACAGTGTGCGACCAGACCTTAGTGAGATAATGTTAGCGAAATGTTCGATAACAATTTATCAGCTTTATAATCATATCTGGGTAATTCAAAAATATCCATGGCTATAGTTCAAGTCTCAAATGTGTGACAAGTAGCAGATAAGACTTGTTGGCTGGCTTTTTAATGGCACATTTGATATGTTTCTTATCGTCAATTTTGATAAAGATCGCTTTTTTACCGTAACTGTGTTTACCAAACACCCCAGTCGCTGATAAGAATTCGATTTTGCCTTTTTATTTTGAATACTACATGTACGTGCAGATATTTATCATTTTTATTTCAATATGCGTGACCAAGAGGTAGCTAGCGATTTAAAGGCGTTCAGCATTTTTTTTATTGTGAGAGAATTTAAATTCTAATTTTCATTTTGTACACAGCGCTGCGAAGATTGTAAAGCTTGTTTTTTCAGAAGTGATTTTTATCATCAACATTATTATTAATATTATTATTATTATTATTAGTCACAATGCTTTAATTTGAGTTACATAAAAAAGTATTTCAACTTTTCCTCCCCTGACCACACTACATACTGGTATTTTCTTATTAATTCAGATGACAAGTCCGACTTAAACCGACTAGTAACGGAATTTTACGAGTGGCGCCTGGCGGACAATCCCGAGTTCGCTACACAGTCCGGAGACAGCCGATATGATGATCAGCTTGAAAATTTGACGATTGCGGACTTTGAAATGAGAAAGGTATGGCAGGCCCGTAGCCAGTGGGGGTTCGGGGGGTTCAAAAGAACCGCCCTTTTTGCTGGGGAAAAGGTTCACGAGGTACATGAAGTTTTTATGGAAAAAGGTACACTTTTTCAGAAAAAGAACCCCCCTTTTGAAATTGCTGGCTACGGGCCTGTATGGTTAATTCTGTACTCTGAATTAAAATTAACGGTTCAGCCGAAGTTGCCAGAATGATTCGAACATTTTTTATGATGGCCAAAAAGCTGACGACTTAAAATGTTGATATATGAGTTTAATTACTGGCTTTAACAGTGTTAAACGGTCTGTCAAATTAAAAAAAAATAACGATAAAAACTGATAAATAATAACAGAAAGACTTTCGGAAACCAAAAAATGTATTTCGCGAGACTAGAATAGAAAAAGGAGAAAACGTATCTCTTTTGTTGTTAAAGATGCAGAAGTCTACATCATGCATCAGTCTAAATTCTTTAAAAAATTGTATTCGTGGTCTACATTTTTAACCACATCTACAACACCTGTCCTATGTCTTATAATCTAAAAAAAACTATTCATATATTCCAGACAAAATGCCAAGACTATTTATTGCGTCTTGGAAAAATTGATCGCGCAAAGCTAGGCGAAAGTGATCAACTGAACTATGACGTCATGAGGCGGTTTGTTCAAGCATTGGTTGACGGATATGAATGGCATTTGTAAGTATTAGTTTTGATTATTCATACTGCTGAGCCACTTAATCAATTCAAATTAAAGCAATGAAACTTCATTAGCTTAATAATAAAAATGATTATTATTATTATTATAGATACAACTCTCTGAACCCAGTTAATTTCCTGGAAGGGCCGCACATCGATCTGGAATATTTGGTCTCCTCCTTGCCGTTCAAGACGAAAAAGAATTATGAAAATTATCTGACTCGTCTGGAGCTTCTACCCAGTCGGTTGTCCCAGATGGTGGCCCTTATGAGGAAGGCTATAGAGTTGGGAAGAACCAACCATAGAGTGTCCATGGTGAGAATAAGGGCTTATTCCCTATGAAAATAGGACTGGGTTCCCATACCTAGATCGATCTAACAGGATCGATCCGTCTCCGAGGGATTTTTCGCTAAATTGCTTTCAGCTTAAGCGGCTTAGATACCTGGCATGCCTACTGAAGCTTATAATAGAAAATTTATTACCCCTAGCAAATGCAGTAGGCGTAGGATACATCTAAGCCGCTTAAGTTGATTGCAATTTATTGATAATCCCCTCAGAGATAGATCAATCCACAGTAAGTACAATTGGGTCTGGGAATGGTCCCTATCGGTTTACATAGATCGATCCAACTCCGCAGGGGCTAAATGCAATCTGAAAAAAAAAAAAAAACAAAAAAAAAAAAAAAAAAGGCCAATTAAGAGTGGAATACATGTCGATTGAGAACCATTGTTTATTTATGAATAAAAATGAGAAATGAGGTGCCTTTGCAAAGGTCATCGCCCACTGAGTGCCATTTTAGTTGAATTCAAATATTTATTATTTTATGTTATTATTGTTTTCAACATAATTTTTAGGACAAGATCCCTGGCCAAATATCAGAAGGCATCACAAACTTGTCAGCGGTAGAAACCTTTTTTTATACACCGTTTAAAGACGCATTAACAAACCTCTCCATACCGGAAGACGAAAAGTAAGACCATTAAGGTTATTATCTTGAAGCGTTTGAAATTCTGCATATTAATTAATTACGTCTAAATTATTGTTTGATAGTCTAGACGAATAATGAGGCTGATTGTCATGAGTGGAAGGAGGTCAACGTCTAGAGCAAACGTTGCCTCGAACTAATTGATATTTGCCCACCTTGTGGCTTCAGGAAAAATAAAAACACGATGAGCAAAAGGCGCTGTTCACAACCAAGTTGAACCGGGCCTAACTGAAGCGCGGTTTAATCATGGTGCGACACACTTGAAAGCACGCTGCGTAATCCCTGCAGGGTCGGTGCGGGTGGGAGGCGGGGAAACCATCAGGGGATTGTGCGGAATGCTTTCAAGTGCGCCATATTTGGATGTGAGCAAATCCATAGGGTTACAGTCCTCTGATACCATTTATCTTTTATTTCTCACAGATCACAACTCAGAGCTCGCGGCCAGAATGTCATAGCAAACGGAATTCAGCCAGCGTTTGCCAATTTGTCCATGTTTATAGCTGACGTAAGTAGTGAACATTAGGCCAAGCAAAATTGAAAGGTTGGTTAATATGTGCGACCGAACCTTATTTAGAGGAAATCAGAATTTTTGCAGACTTAAAATATTTATTTGTTTTTCTTATGGAAAGAAATGCAGTTGACCCAATTTTTTTTTTGTTTATTCTTGAAAGTCGTTCACACTTAGGTTTACCCCCCCCCCCCCCAAAAAAAAAAAAAANNNNCAAAAAAAAAAAAAAAAAAAAAAAAAAAAAATCTTTGAAATACAATTCCTAATATGGAGCATGCGTACCCCTGTAACCTAGTACTTGGAACCACCCTTATTGCTGTTACCCTATAACCGCTTCCGGTTTCCATTTTCTTTTTAAATTCAGGAGTACCTTCCCAACACCAGGTCTGGGTACGGGGTCAGCAGCTATGACCGAGGGTCAGACTATTACAAGGCGTGTCTCAAGTGGCATCTGACCACCGATATGACCCCTGAAGAAGTCCACGAAAAGGGGTGGAGCGAGATTCGAAGGATATCTGCAGAGATGAATAAGGTCGGTTGTCATTGGTTTGCGATTTGACTAATCGTAAAACTGCAGTAAATAAAGTAGCGAAAGAAAGATAGATAACGAAAACAAACAAGCCAAAAAATTAATAATATATTTTAAAGAACTCATAAATTGACTGAATCAAATAATAAATAAAAAGAAAAAATGAAAACAGCTACGCGTATCTAACATTAATCAAGTACATATTTCATTAATCTTTGACTATGTCCATGCTTTGACCAAAACCCTAAGTGACAGTGATGTGTGACGATTCTGGGCCGCAGACGAGAGATTCAATGCTTTTTTTAAACATAGATAGCGGTTTAAAGACAGCCAGGGACTCTCAGGGTGTAACTAACAGAGCGTTGATACGATTGTGTTATTTCAGACACTGCCTCTCAGAGTGTAGGCCTTTATAATCAATGCATGTTATACGTTCTTAAGATAAATTGAGGTACTGTCACACCTAGCGAATAGTACTTACGTTCGTGCGACAGAACCTTTACCAATATGCCTTGCGTATTTCAGATTCTTGCGGATCTAAAATTTAGAGGCTCCATCCGGGACTTTGTGAATAGCCTGAAGACAGACCCTAGGTTTTTCTACAACACCTCGGTAAGACAGGAAATCTTAAAACACATCATGCGTTTTTGTCTTTTTCGGTTTTTGTTTAGGGTTACTCCTTTCACATTTTAACGCAACGGGCCTTTTCATTAAAGTTTTATTTGTTGCCACTTCTTTCGTCATCCAGGATTGAACTGAAAACAAAAAAAGAAAAAAATGGCTTTATCGATTGTGTTTTGGTCTCCTGTTTTGGATATGATGTTCCTTAGAGTTAACTTAGAGTTAAGTGCTGATATTTCCAGGAAATGTCGCATTTCATTATATAGAGGCCTGATTCGCATTTTTTTTTGTTTTTAAATTTAAATTATAATTTTAAATTTTAATATCTCAAATATACTGTCTTTTTAAAAAGACAGTAACATTTCCAACCACAGCGTGTTTTGCGACTTTGTGCAACGTAGATGTACGAGTGATACATACATGATCGTCAAAACAATAGTAAAAAAATCTTTATTGCGTGGATTGGTTTTGCAGGACGAGCTTCTCGCTGAGTACAACGTGATAACACGAGAGTTGATTCCACAACATCTACCTAAGGTGTTCAAGGACATTCCAGTCATTCCATTTGAGTAGGTTCAAAATTTGGGTCCCACTTAATACAAGTAATAATATGTCTAAATGTAATGTTTTATAAATGAAATATAATAAAAAATGCAAAATAACTGATCGTGCATTTTTCTAAAATTTCTAAATATTGCGGTGGCCCATCATGAAAGGTCGACTTTGCGATAATGATATGAGAACGTTTGACTACTTGTGATTAGACCACTATAAAAAATGTTGATATGTCTTAATGGGCGTTCGGTGGTACTACTACAAGGCTTTCATTTTCATTGCAGGATCAGAGCAATGACAAATGATGGCCCACTGGGTCAGTATTACGACCCAGGGCAAAACAACAGCCGTCCAGGAGTGTTTGAGGTCAACCTATACAACCCAAAAACGAAGTAAACCGATTTTGTTTCATAATAAAGCAATTAGTCACCCTTTTAACAGCTTAATTTTGTCCTCCGCAAACTCGGCGATTGCAGAAAGTAGTTCGAAATGGATGTATGCGAATGTTTCCTAGATAGGCCGAACTCTTTAATATAGTTAAATACATTCTGAAAATCATGGAAGTAGATAAACAAAAGCGGCAGCAAGGTATGGCACGGGGAGTGTTGCACCCCACGTCACCCCATCAATGTCTGGTTAAGTAAAATGTATTTGATAGCATCGTTTTATACACTGCACTTCTTCTGTTATGTAGATTAACGGTGGAAATGGTGGCCCTCAGTTTGCACGAGGTCGAGCCGGGCCATCATTATCAGGTAAAGTATAATGTTAAATCAGAGTGGTGAAATGATTATTTTTTCTTTCTAGAAAAAAAAAAGAATTATCATTATGTGTCCATCAAAGTTAAAAGTACTCTTCAAAATTATTTTCAAATGTTCGTTTTTGATGATTGTAAGTCTTAATGCTCATCACGTGGTTTATAATAATTGTTAAATAAAATATGAAATAAAATCTGTTCACAGGCCAGCGTCCAACTCACTGAACATCTCCCCGACTACCGAAAGAACCTGGAGTATTCCAAGTATTATGCCATCCCATTTAATTTTCCTTTCCAAACCGCTTATTCTGAGGTGAGTATAAGATCTATTGGTGAATGTTATGCAATATAACAAATTTAATTTGCTTACTATATAATATTGGTGTACGTGTATGTTCCATATCATATCACATACTTGTGCTGAATAGGGTTACCGTAGTATCAGGGATAAAATATGGTTGATTTATTAATCCAAACAGCATTGCGTTTCCGCAACAAATGGCCTACTAGACAATAACTGTGAGCAAGTGTGTTGTCATGATGTAGTTATCCCTTCATCAAATTGGAGGGAGTTTATGTTCTTAGTTGGATTAAATGGTATGAAGTAACGTTTTTTTTTTTTGCTCCATAAGTCATATTAGATATTGGCGTTTGTAATAAATAAAATGAATATCTATTTAAAACGGTTTACATGTTTTCATGAAGTGTCGTGCATGTTGAAATTTTAACGTCTGGATATTTTATGTCCATCAGGGCTGGGCACTCTATGCGGAAGCTTTGGGCGAAGAAATGGGAGTCTATAGAAACAACTACGAACTGTAAGTAAACTACATCCAAACAATGGTTAGCATCTGAATTAACCCTAAAGAGGCTGGCGACCAACGTGAGGTCATTCGAGACTAGTTAATTGAAACTATTTTTAGGGCAACAAGGATTATATTTACGTGTTTGGAATTTCTCTTATGAGAATAGTACAAAGTGACACGCAATGCATGGTTATATTTGGCGCTGTTGGGCAACAACTTGAGAGGAAAATGTGTTGGGAGTTTTAAGGTCAAAGGCACATGGTCTTTTTGTGCCCACGGAGAATATGAACTGTGCGTTACCGGAATATTACCTAATTAACTTAGTAAAACTTGACCTACACTATTCTCGAAAAATTCGAAAACACAAAATAAATTGCTCTTTTCCAAATTGACCTATATTAACATTACAATGCCCGGACTGGGTGATATGAAATCGGTTCAAAGCATGCTGTTATGAGATATTCTGTTGCCCTATGAACAAAGACCGATGATTTCAGCGAGGGTGCTTTAGACTATCTGAGTGATAGCTGATCTTGTTTCTATTCTCAGCTTTGGAAGGTATTCCTCGGAAATATTCCGAGCCTGCCGTCTTGTCGCAGACACAGGACTCCATTATTTCAAGTACGTAGAATATTACATATACCTCTGACGACGTTTCATTTTTTAATTTTCTAAACATTTTAATTAAAATCTATATTATTTATATTGTAATTATCAGCGTTATAGCGCTATTACTATTATTATTATTATTATTGAATGAATGAATAATATCAAAAAGGCAGCTTAAATCATCCATCAAATGAAAACTATAAAAACACGATCATAATAACATCTCTTCCAATCTATCTTTAAGCTGGACGCGAGAGCACGCCATAGAGCTGTTTGAAAATTACACAGCCAATTCCCTAGACGGCATCAAGATCGAGGTGGACAGATACATCACGTGGCCGGGCCAGGCATGCGCATACAAGATAGGGGAGCTCAAGATAAAAGACTTGAGGAAGAAGGCATCGGATGCGTTAGGTGAGAATTGAGAATGCGACCTTTCCAAAGATAATGATGTGCATGTACGGTTAACTTATGTCCGCTAGTCGTGGACGAGCGACATGGGTCTACAAAAAAAAAAAAAAAATAAAAAA